AGAAGTGTGTGTGAGACAGAGAGAGAGAGACCGACGGATCTATGACACACACGGCAGTGCAACTCCTGTCCACGACCATGAAGGGGCGAACGGTAGGATCCCAGTCCAAGAAACGTGTGTGTGTGTGTGTGTGTGTGTGAGAGAGAGTGAGAGAGTGAGTGAGAGTGTGTGTGTGTGTGTGTGTGTGTGTGAGAGAGAGTGAGTGAGAGAGTGAGTGAGAGTGTGTGTGTGTGTGTGTGTGTGTGAGAGTGAGTGAGTGAGTGAGTGAGTGAGTGAGTGAGTGAGTGAGAAAGTGTGTGTGTGTGTGTGTGTGTGTGAGGACTGAACTGAATTAGGGTTTGTTGGTTCGTTAGTGACTAATCTGCTCCGTCTCAATTGTGTAACCTTACCAGAAGCCTTAAGACGCCACACCTGTTCCAGGGAAATCTTGTTCCGTGTGTGTGTGTGTGTGTGTGTGTGTGTGTGTTTTGGATCAGGTTAATCAGGTGTTGGAGTGTATTGTTGTTAAGCAGCACTCGAGGGTTTGGGAGGCCAGTATTATGGGCTGTACGAGCCGCCGGTCGTCAGGGGAAGTGGAGAGGTTGCCGGGTTGTTGGTGGAAAGTTCCAGGTGTGTGTGTGTGTGTGTGCGTGTGTGTTTGCAGAGGGAATCTGGGCTTTATATGTAAACGCTGGTGTTCTGTTGAGTTTGACTTGATCAGGCAACGCTTCTAATGTTTTCAATTTGCCATCATATGATCATCTACACACACACACACACACACACACACACACACGACAGTACTGAGTAACTGTTATCACACAGAGATGTCGACGCGTCAGTCCGCTAGCGGCACTCCATGAACACACACTCGTGACGGACGTCTGAGGTGTTCGAGTCTCATCCGTGATTATGGTCTGGATTCATTCGCTAATTATTAGTAACTATAGTAACTATAACTCTTACTATTACATGTGCTCTCTCAATTCAATTCAAATTGCTTTATCGGCATGACTGTACATATTACAATATTGCCAAAGCTTGGAATACATAGTATAATAGTGAAGACAGTAATAATAACAAAGTATTATAACATCTTAAATTGAAATGTACAAATTAAATTAATTGCAAAAAATAACATTGTAACAGATTATAATTTCTATGAATCTATAATTTCTCTCTCTCTCTCTCTCTCTCTCTCTCTCTCTTCTCTCTCTCTCTCTGGAAAGGGTTTTCTTCGCAGATTCAAATGTAAATCTCAAGTGGAAAATAGAAGTCAAGTTTCTCCCTGTTCTTCTGTGTCCTATAGTGTTTACCCCACCCACACAGCCCTACACACACACACACACACACACCGCACACACTCTTGCATGCAGATGCTCTCTCTCTCTCCGTCTCTCGCTCTGATCCGTTGATCTGCTCGCTGGATCGGGTGTGTGTCCTAAATTAGCGTGTTGTGTTTGGAGGAGGCCTGCGAGACGTTTAAAATCTGCATCACATGAAGTAAAAAGCAAGAGGTGTAATTACCAACGACAGCCGTGCGGACGGAGGACGCCAGTCTCGCAGATATACTGGACATGCTCAAAGAATTCTGGGCCAGTATGTTCTTGAGTCCTGCATCCCTAAAGACCCTAGGGTGTTCTCACTAGGTCTACTACTGAGGGCTCCAACAAGACCACATTTATCTCTTTAAAATCCTGATTGCATGTAAACAGGCGATCACTGACGACCAGAGGAGAGGAGATCAGTGTGTGTGTGTGTGTGTGTGTGTGTGGACGCTGGACAATATGGTTTGCGTATAAAGAAGCAGAACAATTTTAATACTTTATAAGTTATTATTATGGGTGTGACGAGACTCTCGTGTCACGATACGATATTATTGCGATACTCCAAGAAATCTGGTAAAAGGGAACAAAAAAATGTCCTGCTGATTAAAAAGCTAACTTTGATATTACATTGTGTGTTTAAATGAAAAGGTTTGGACTAACCCACGAACAATGGAGACAACCGAATAACAATATTCATGATTCTGAAGCGGAAAATGCAGGATTATTTCAGAAGAATATGCTTGCACACACTAGATATATTTAAAATAATGTCAGACACTTTTTACTGGTAACATCAGCAATTTTGGCATTACCACAATTTTCAGGACCCACAAATATTCCCCCATTGCATTATTAAACATTATATTCAACATTATATTGTAGTACTGATACTAAAACTTGACTGTCCACGATGCATACTGTTGCATTTTTGTATTGCGATATATTGTTAAACCCCTAGTTATTGTACATTATATAGTGTCCCTTGGTCTTTGTATGTTGTGTTGTAAATGAGAAGAATGCCAAAGAAAGAGTGTAAAAATGTGTGTGTGTGTGTGTGTGTGTGGGCGCAGTCTTTCTGGCAGACGTTTGATCTGAGCCGGATCGGGGATGGTGAACTAGTCATCCAGCAACACACCCGTCGATTAGACACACACTCTCTCTAGTATTATATATGTTCAGTATTCAGTGATACCTGTTTGGTCAGGTGTGTTCTGTGTGTCCAAACGAGGGTGGACGAGCTTCTGTTTGGTGCTGCTCAACACACTCCACATTTATAACATGTTTGTATGTTCAGATTAAACAACACTTAATTATTGTTATAACAATTTTTCTTGTATTCATAAATCAGGACCTTTTCGCAGTTATTAACATTTATGCACATTTATAACTCTATAGTTTTAAATTACCTCAGCATTATAATGCAGAAAACTGTGCAACAGTGCAACTTTGACGTGCTTCTTTCTTCTGATCGGCTTTTGTTAATTGCAGCGGTGTTTCATTGATGGCGTTGTGTGTTTGACTTCCTGTTTGAGATCTTGTGATGAAGATCGCATGACCGAAACGTTTCCAGTGCGTTCTGCGAGCGATAGCAGTGTGTGTGTGTGTGTGTGTGTGTGTGTGTGGGATTCTGCCGTTTTAGACGTCTCTCTTCTGATCGCCGTGATCAAACTCTCAATAACAGTTTTCTCTTCTGATGGAGACTCGTTCATAGATGTGTTTTCCTCTGCCGATGGGAAGAAACAGTATTTGTTGTAGTTTCCGTTCACCACCGTAGAACTATGAGTTCTGCTTCTCAGAAACCTGGAAACCATGTGTTTTTAAGGCCGAGTAAAAGATTAACTTTGAGATATCATCAGACTTCAGATGACGGGAACCCTGAGTTTATATGCACCAATGCTCAATTATCATTTGATAACAAATTCATTACTTCGATGAGCTCATAGTTTCGGCCTTAAATTATTACATTGTTTAAATTGGTAGATTTTTAGCGAGCTGTGATTCTGTATATATTACTGTAAACTGTAATGTGGACTTTCTGTAAAGCTGCTTTCAAATGTGTGTGTTGTGGAATTGTGGATTGAATTGAATACTTCCCCTCTTGATTGATCACATTAAGAATTGCATATTGTTTTACAAGTTTGTTTAAATATGCAAATGAGGCACATTAATTAAATATGAAGAGTTCAGATGCAAAAGCCTCTAAGTGCCATTTGAAATTTTCTTCTAGAATGATCATTTTTATCAAGCCTGTATATTTAAGTTCAGTGATTTCACTTGAATGGCAATGAAGATTACCTATTAATTGTCATTTAAGTGAAATTACTGAACTTAAATATACAAGCTTGATAAAAATGGTCATTATAGAAGAAAATTTCAAATGGCGTTTAGAGGCTTTTGCATCTGAACTCTTCATATATATAATTGAATATTGTCAGATTAAAGGGAATTTTGGATTTCTGTATTTATAACTCAAAAAATTCAGAAAATATTCAACAGACAGAAAATAAATACACTTTCACATTTTTTTATATTTCATTATACTTGATTTTTTTCAAGTATAATGTTTTATTAATCATGCGAATGAAATATATTCAGAATATAGATACGAGTAAAGCTGTAAAGTCTGGTGTGTGTAAAACTGCTGAAGATTTTTGACTCAAACTCATCGCCTTTAAAGATCTACAGAAGCAAATGCATGCATGCACACACTTTAACACACACACACACACATGCACACATTCCCAAACACATTCATGCATGCACACACACGCACACACACATACACACATACAAACATCTGCATGCATGCACACACACACACAAGCATGTACGCACAAATAGGTAAAATGCAATAAAATAAACATTTAAATTTGTGCTCTTCATGTTTTCTTTCCACTAGTCAGAAAAAAGCAGATTATGAAAAGCTCAAATCTCCAGATTGGCCAGTGCATGAACACCGCTCACGTGTGTCTCCTGTGTGCCTGCAGGTGGCGATGTCTCCAGGAGAGGACGGTCTAATCGGGATCCCCTTCCCGGAGCACAGCAATGAGCTGCTGTCCCGACTCAACGCGCAGCGGCGGAACGGGCTCCTCTGCGACCTCACGCTGACCTCCCGCGGCACACGTCACCCCACGCACCGCTCCGTCATGGCGGCCGTCAGCCTGTACTTCCGCCGTCTGTTCGGCGCGGAGGAGGGCGAGGAGGGGGGCGAGGGCGTGGGCGACGGGTGCAGCGTGTGCCAGCTGGACTGTGTGTCGCCCGACGCGCTCGCCGCGCTGCTGGAGTTCGCCTACACCGCCACGCTAACCATCCGCAGCTCGGGCATGCGGGACGTCCTGAAGGGGGCGCAGCTGCTGGGCATCCAGTGCGTGGCGGACGCGTGCCGGGACATTCTGGGCGAGGCGGGCGATGATCTGGCGAATCCCGTGAAGGAGGTGGAGCGCTTGCCGTCGCGTCGCAAGCAGGACCGGTGCTCCGTAGCCAGAGCCGTGTCTCCCGCTAGACCTGTTAGCTTCATAGCGCCCGCGTCAGAGGATACGCCTGAATACGGTTTGCTTCCCACGCAGGGACGAGAATCCCACGCCCACCAAAGGTTCCTGATGAACGGAGGCACGCATGAGTCCTACAGGCCCGAAGACACGCCCTCTGAGGAGGAGGAGCCTGGAGCGCCGGAGCGGGCCACACCTCATCACAGCCAATCACAGCAGGGGGACGGGGGAGGGGGCGGAGCCACGGTCGGGAGCGTTCGTAAGAGAAAGTCTCAGACGCCACAGCAGTGTCCCGTCTGCCAGAAGATCATCCACGGGGCCGGGAAGCTGCCGCGGCACATGAGGACACACACGGGCGAGAAGCCGTTCCAGTGCTCGGCCTGCGGCGTGCGCTTCACACGGTACCACACACACACACACACACCTTTAGCGCGATTCGCTACTTTATGATTGAAAATGACTAGCAATTTCTGAGTATCTTTGTGTTTGACTTCAGAGTTAATAATTTACTCACCCCACATCCACAAATCAAGGGTTTTGAGGAAAGCATTCCAGGATGTTTCTCCGTATAGTGTCTTCAATGGGGTCCAAACGGGTCGGATGTGAGTTTCAGTGCAGCTTCAAAGTCTCGCTGAGGAATAAGAGTCTGATCTACACAAACCGGCGACATTTTATGACAAAAATAAACGTTAATATAGTTTTAACCACAAATGCTGTGAGCTGTGATGCGCCACACATGAAAGGTCAAGCGTGACGTAGGCGGAAGAACCGGCCCAGTGCCCTTCCCTACATTTCTGAACACGCTTGACCTTTCACCCATTAGTGGATAAAGTATATAAATGTGTGTTTTGTTGTAAACGTCGCCGGTTTGTGTAGATCAGACTCTTATTCCTCGGCTGGATCGTGTCGAGACTTTGAAGCTGCACTGAAACTCACATCTGACCTTCAACCCGTTGGACCCCATTGAAGACACTATACGGAGAAACCCTGGAGCGTTTTCATTTCTCATTTCATGACGTGAGTAAATTCCCAGGAAATGTGAATTCTGAATTCCTCCTTTATTCTGGAATGTTTCCCATCTTAGGAATGACAAGCTGAAGATCCACATGCGTAAGCACACGGGTGAGCGCCCGTATCCGTGCCCCAGTTGTCCCGCGCGGTTCCTGCACTCCTACGACCTGAAGAACCACCTCTCGCTTCACAGCGGCGACCGGCCCTTCGAGTGCCCGCTGTGCCACAAGGCGTTCGCCCGCGAGGACCATCTTCAGCGGCACCGGAAGGGCCACAGTTGCCTGGAGCTCCGCACCCGCCGGCCCCGGCGCGGCCCCGGCCCGGATCCGGGAGCGTCTCCTCCCACAGAACCCTTCGGCCTCCATCAGCAGCTGGCCGTCGCAGGGCTCCTCGAGGGCCACGGCGGGCCCGTCCCGGGGGTCCCACTGATGCCCGGCGCCCGGATGCCCTTCCCGGAGCTGCTGTGGCGAGCCGTCGCCGGGCCACTGGGGAAATCCCTGGAGAAACCCGAAGGCGGCTCGTCTCCGCACGGCAGCGGCTCCGTCACACACAGAACGTGGGAGGAGGAGGAGGAGGAGGAGCGGGAAGATGCTGGCGAAGAGGAAGAGTGACGTGTGTGTGTGTGTGTGTGTGTGTTCCATCATATATCTGTGGTGTAGTCGCATCATCTTCTGTTTCTGGTGCTGGTTGAGCTCATGAAGAATCACGCAGGGTCTTTGTTTCTGCGGTACGTAGTTTTTGTATGAATCTCGTCTCGTTAATGTTCACGCTATGCAAGATTTCATCACCATGGAGTGATTGAACAAACCTGATTAAAAAAAAAACTAACTTGAGTTAAGAATGCAAATGAAGCAGCTGGAGGCGGAGAGGGGGCGTGGCCTTGCTCTGAACGGGACGTGTATATCGCCACCTACTGGCGCTCAGGACCTCATGACGGGGAATATACTGTAGCTGCTCTTAAATTTAGCCTTTTCCAAATAAAAAGAGTTTGGAATTTATTTTTTCTTTAAATGATAGAATTTCCTTTCATACCAAAGAATAACGGTTAGTAGCTGAGATTAATAATATGTCAATGAATTTTTCAGATATTTGTAGCCTTTAAATGTGTTTGTTTTTCTGTCTGTCGGACCAGGTCTCAGTTCTCGCACGTTTAAAGGGCTTTCAGGACTTAATCAGACGTGTTTGTTTGATTTTCGTTTACGGCGGTTTTTGCTTGTTTGGGAGGATGAGCTTGATTTCATCCTGAATTTATTTTAGAGGACTGATCTGGTTTTCCTGCCCTCTCATTTTTTTTTAAAGAAGGTGACGTGGCAGGGTGGAAAATTCGTTTGTATACTATTCTATTTATTTATTTGTCGGTTTGATATTTATTGTGACTTTCCTGGTTGAGGCTCTTGGGTTATTTTGCATCTTCTCTTCCTTAGAAGAATCGAATCTTCCTTCTCTTTGCTTCCTTCAAGAGCGACTCCTTGAGTCTTTGAGTCTATGAGTTTAGTCAGAGCAACTCCTTGAGTATCTGGTCTTTGAATTCTGTCGGACTGACTCCTTGAGTCTTTGAGTTCAGTCTTAGCGACTCCTTTGAGTTCAGTCTGAGCGACTCCTTGAGTCTTTGAGTTCAGTCTTAGCGACTCCTTTGAGTTTTTAAGTTCAGTCTTAGCGACTCCTTTGAGTTTTTGAGTTCAGTCTGAGCGACTCCTTGAGGATCGGTTCTGCCTTTCTCCTGGTAATGGCCTCAGGGAGACGGGTGAAGCCTGGTCAGATGTACCGTGTGCAAACGCACATATAAACGCTCAGGTGCTGTAGAGATTCAAACGTCCTCTCTTTGCAAGTTTTGCACATTGAATGTCTGATTAAAAGTACAATGGCCTCCGATGACCAGCATAGAAACAGACAGAATGAAACATGGAGGAGCCTTGCCTTTCTTAAAGCAAATACATATCGGAGATATTTTTGAGATGATTTGCATTATATGAGTCATTAATGACATCAACTATAGCTTTAGCCGCTTTCTTTTCGCTCTTCGACCTTGTACATCAAATTGATTTACAGTCTCTATAAGACGCACGCCGAGCCTCATGGGAAGCGTGTCGGGATGCATTCTGGGATTTTCGTCTGTTTGTTACTGTACTGCTGACAGTAGGGAAACTCCCCAAAGAGGTTTATTTGCACTAAAACGAAATCTTTGTGTTGTGAATTATTATCTTGTTCCACTTATGATGATTGTAAATCCTTAATTTCTTCAACCAAAAAAAAAAAAAAACTCTTTGCATCATATTAAGTATATTTGCTGATTTTTTTTTTATGTAAAAAGGTCAAGCTGCCTTAGTTTATTTTTTATTTTATTTTTTGCAACTATTCTCAGGAAATCTTGAGCCATGCACTAAAGTGGTTATGCAAATGGTTAATATTAATTTATTGTATATATTTGTGCTTGGAAATATGAACGCCCTGTTATTAAGTAAAGTCTCTCCAAAGATGTTGTTGTTTATTGATTGATGTAATTGAATCTGAGTTGTTTGTATGTTGTGTGATGATTCGGGTGACGGGACGGGCTCCTGCTCAAAGCCTTCAATCAGGGATCTGTGTTCTGCTCAGAGTCAAATCTCATTCTCATGTTGTACAAATGAAGAGCAAATAAACAAAGATTTACGTTGAAATAGACTCTGCTGCCTCCTGCTGGTTTCATCCTACACTAGTTTAGTGTTTTTATCTCGTGTTGTTAAATGTGTTCTTTTTTTTTTTTTTTTTAATTAAAAGTAAAGAGCATTACAATCAAAGTAGCAAAAAATAAAATAAATAATAAAAAGTATCGAAAAATAATCAACAGTACAGTTAAAGTAATAAAGAAAAAAAAGAGAAAAAAAAAATAACCACAGTGTTAAATGTGTTCCCGATGCGCGTGATCTTGAGGCGTGACGTCACGGTGTTCTAATTAATATTCATGAGTGCTGCTCGAGTTCTGGCCTATGGTTCTGGCGCAGGAATATACATTTTGATTCTTTAAACATGCTCTTTTAAAACTAAATAAATTACATTTGTGCGGTTTTTTCTCTGTTATAAAAATACATTTTATAGATATTTCTGCAAAGTTTAAAAATAAAAAATATGTATTTTTTAATGATTTTTTTTAATGATTTAATTTTGCCTTATGATGGTAATGACACGAAATCTGAAGACAGCTGTATTTGTGCTGAAAATGTCTTTCACAAAAAAGGAAAATTTATTGAAAACTGGCGTTTGTTGGAATCTAAATCAAATCATTAATATGTGGGTTTGGTTTAACAAGTAAAATACCGTAGCATTACTCGATATACAGCCTATTCTTCTGTCTGTAGTTTAGTATGTAGTCGGGGTTTCCCCATTACTTTTGTTTTTGTTAAATATTAATCTAAAGTGGAAGTTTCTTGACAGTAAGGTGAATAGTCAAAAAGTTTCATGTAAACCGCAATAATAACCGTCACACACTCATATTATGGATGAAATTATGTTTTGTAAAAGGATAATTGTCGCAATCAAAACTGTAATGCAATCATTTAAAAACAAGCCTATAATCTTATTTCCCCGTGATTTTAGTTCCACCTACTGGTGACGAACATGATAACGAGACAATATTGTTTCTTATATATATTTTTCTTTCATTAGCAAATTAGTAAAAAAAAAATATTCTTTTGACTCTGTAATTTATGTATTAAGAATAAAAGTGTAAATAAAATAAAGAAACATTTCTGAAGGTAGTTTGCCCGATGGGTTCTGCGCATGCGCGGTGCTAGCGGAAGTGACGCAGACGACAGTGGTTCCGTTGATGGTTTGTGTCTGTCCGAGCGTCTGATCGTTTCTGATCGGTTCGATTTATCGTGATCAGAAGCATAAACTCAGCGTAACAGATGTCATTCGGTGTCCCTCACAGCGCCGGGTAAGTGTGTGTGTGTGTGTGTGTGTGTGTGTGTGTGTGTCGGTTAAAGAGTTCGACGGTTCTGCTAATGGTGGGTGTTACGTAACAACAAACCAACAGAAGCCCAGACACATATGAAATATTATTAATCTCAGATATCAGATCTTCATATGATCCTGCTTCTGTTCCGTGTTTATCCGTTCCACGGTGAGCCCGCGATGTTTGGACCCAGAGAACAGTGTAAAGTGTGTGATAATACACACTCATTGCCACATAGTTCAGTGTTTGAGCTGATAATACTGATATTAACACATTCAATAAAACTATGCGTGAAAGTACGCCGTTCATCTTCATCCAGTCAGTGAAGTCATGCAAGATCATTGGTGTGTGTGTGTGTGTGTGTGTGTGTGTGTGTGTGTGTGTGTGTGTGTGTGTGTGTGTGAGAGAGAGAGAGAGAGATCTGTGTGTGTGGGACAGGGCTCTCCACTTACTGTGAATGAGGGATAACATAATCTAGAGTGCTATTTGTTTGTTATACTCAACAATATTTATTATAATTATAACATGGTTATGTTTTACTTTGAGCCTGGGTTCTCCCAAGGGTTTTTTCCTCCATCGGGTCATCTGATGGAGTTTTTCGATTCCTCTCTTGCTCAGTTGGGGATATTCAAATTAAATGACCCATCATAACACTGATCAGCTCTGCCAAACTTGGATATATTTTTTCCACTATGGAAAATTAATGATTACTAAAATTAATGACTGGAAATTTCCATTTATATGTGAAATAATAAAATATCTGGATATCATGGTTCAGTCTTACAAGCTTTTTTTATTCAACAACCATTCCTGATAACTGGTATTGAAATATGTACATTTATCATTTTCTTTCATGAGCTGTCGAGAGTCGTGTTTCACAGAGTGTGTGTGTCTGGTAATGGACAGTCAGGACTGGGTTTAAAGGGATAGTTCACTTTGAAATTAATGTTTGATATGTTTTATCTTCCCTCAAGGGCATCCAAGATGTCGGTGTCTTTGTTTCCACAGTATTTTCAATTTTGACATTTTTCGCTCAAACCGTTGTTGTCTATCAGTCATACACTGGAGGCTAAGGGGGTCCACCAAAGAGCAGCACAGAGAAGTCCAAATTAAACATGATTTAATGACTCGTAAATGTAAGCACACATTGATGGCCTAAGACACGAAACGAGCGGTTTGTGTGAGAAAACCAACAGTATTGATATCGTTTTTAAACGATATAAGGTAAAACCCTGATGTGTGTAATATTTGAATATTCTGCCGTGCCACTGGGCCGGGCCGGGACAGCGCTGGCTCATCTGGGTTTAGTTGATCATTTGTTCTTCTACAGCATCATCCCTGTGTAGCGGACCCTGGGACGCCGTTACAGCCGCGCTTGGCTCTCTTCGCGACTGTTTATAATAGAGATAGATTAGCGTTAGTTGCGTACGCTTAAAGGTGGTGTTGATGATGGTGGTGATGAAGATGATGGTGGTGAGGATGTTGATGATGATGACGTGTTTGTGTTTATCAGGCGGCGCAGTAAGTGGGACCAGGCCGGCCCGGGTTCCTCGGGTTCCTCTGATGGAGGTTCTGCTCCCACCGGAGCTCTGGACGCCGCGGCCGCTGTCGCCGCTAAGATCAACGCTATGCTCGTGGCTAAAGGGAAACTCAAGCCGTCTCAGATCAACAGCGCCGCTCCGGCTGATAAAGTCAGTCCTGCTGATCTCCCACCAGGGCCATTACACACTTCACAACTTCCCTCTGTCAGCTGATGTGCAGAATCAGGCTCACATTACATTAGTTTAACATTTGAGATGTATGATATGTTGGCCGATATAGGCTCATTTGTGATGGTATCGGCCTGATGCGTGAATTAGACTGATATATGGACATACTGTATTATTTCCTTCACATGCGCACTGAACACGATGACTCTGAATTGCTCGGAATATGATTGGAATCACTTTGAAAAGGAAAAATATAGTTTATGGATGCACCGATATGAATATTTTGGGCGATACCGATTACTGATAATTCTTTATATTCAAAAGCCTTTATATTTTGAGAGCCTGATTACAAAAGCAGAAGTCTCACCGTTAAAATCCACGTCTCAAACACACAATTACAATGTTCTCATTATCGTTTGACATGACGGACCTGTGCTGCTCTTCTGTTCACAATCAGTTCTACAATCAAATCTCACTCCATGTTTTATTTACTCACCAAAACTCATTTGTTTTTGGTTCTTGAGCGGGAATTCTGTATCCTCTGCACATCCAGTGCGATACCACTGTATATAGTCTTCATTCATATTTTAATCAAGCTGTTATTTTTATATTGTTAGCTGTCATTGTTAAGATCTAGAACCTTTTTCGTGTGCATTTGACATTTATTTATATCTTATTTTATTTCAGCTTCATTTCACTTAAAGTACAATATGTTTAAAGTCCCCCTGTGGTGTAAATCCAGCGTTTAATGTTGTGTATGCGGTGTGTTTAATCCGCTTCAACACAATCGCTGGTGTTTCTGACGTCACAAATTACCTTGTAACCAATCAGATCAACGTGTGATCGGCAACCAGTGGATCTCTGAGTGAGTGGAGGTGGGGCTCATTTGCATATTCATAGAACTGCGCATACTAAATGAGGCGAGGGTGTCGAGTTACATTGAAGATATTTTACAGATGAAGAAGTTTCTTCATTTTGGTGATCACAGATGAGTTTCAGTGATGAACTGATCGACTACAGCGGGACTTTAAATGTTTTAGAGAGTTAAAAATAGAGTCTTTAATTTAATGACGGAGCTGAAGGTCTGTTTACTCAAGTGTAATGTTACGGGAAACACTATAAGATGAAGTATAAGTATCATACGCTCGCAGTGTGAGGAGGAACACACACTCATGATCCGCTGCAGGTTTCAGGTGCGGCGGCGAGTAAACTGAAGGACGATCTGGTGGTGGCAGAAGTGGAGATCAACGACGTCCCGCTGACCTGCCGAAACCTGCTGACCCGCGGACAGACTCAAGACGAGGTGTGTGTGTGTGTGTGTGTGTGTGTGTGTGTGTGTCCTCCGCTCACTGCTGGTGTTCTCCACAGATCAGCAGAGTGAGTGGCGCTGCTGTGTCCACCAGGGGGCGCTACATGTCCTCAGAGGAGAAGAGCAAAGCCCTGCCCAGGTGAGATGCTTCACACTGCGATTGGATTGCAATAAATATTCAGTAATTACTGTAAATACTAATGTGTGTGTGTGTGTGTGTGTGTGCTGATGTTTCCACAGTGACCGTCCGCTGTATCTGCATGTTCAGGGCCAGACCCGAGACCTAGTGGACAGTGAGTGACCGCACTGATGGAGGAGCTTCCTCACGTGTGTGTGTGTGTGTGTTTAACATCATTCTCTCTGTGTGTGTGTGTAGAGGCCGTTAACAGGATTAAGGAGATCATCACTAACGGTGTGGTGAAGGCCGCCACCAACTCGACCTACAGCGGAGCGACGGTCACTGTGTACCAGCAGCCCGGATCCACCACTTTACCCACAATCCCCTCTGCTGCACACAAACCACACTATACAGGCGGCGTGAGTACACAGCGTTCAGTACTTCAGCGTTCATACAATGGTTATCAAGACTGAGCTTTTGCTAATTATTATTTGATGTAATTGACACGAGTGTGTGAGAACAGGATATTAATAAAACATCCCATTCCTGGACCCTCCAGAACTACGAGGAACGTCTTAGCTAGTCTTAAGCCCCGTTCACACCGCCAGCGATTTTGTCGCTGTGTGTCGATAGGCTCTGTACTGTGATGTCGCTTGTGGGCGTTCGTAGTGCTGTCGCTCTTGTGTTATTGGTAGACTGCACGTCTGGCCATATCTATACAAAAGACCATCACAAGTGATATATAATTTTAATTTGACTGGGAATAAATGACGTTTAAAGCTAAAAAGAAACCATATGCTGTTGGGAGAGTGTTTTTATATCTCCACAGCTGTGTTCAGTGGATTAAATCATTTACTAGAGGAACGATCGATCAATGAACAAATTTAACTCACTCATACTGTCACAAATTATAAAAACGTCATTCGAATTTGACAAATAATCAATTTTCTTGTCCCTAATAGTCAATGTAATGCAGGGGAAATTGTAAAATGAACTGCAGCAGTGCTAACGTGCATCATATAATTACAACACTCGAACTATAACGTTAAATGTATGAATTAAACTCACTGTCGACAGTTTCTTTTCCATGCATCATTTTATTATCCATGTATGTGGTTACAGTCAAATCATATAAAACAGTGAAATCGTCCTCAAACTCTTTCTTTCTGTCTTGCCTGCACTGCACTCGAGACGAGACGGTGACGTGAGCTGAGCTCCACTGAAAGTCTTCTTTCCTATTGGTTGTCGCTCGCGAAAATCGCTTCTCATTTGCATAAAGTTGAAAATTCTCAACTTTTGTCGCTTGTCTCTTGTCGCTTGACACGCCCACATTCTGTCGCCAACGGTCACTGTCGCTCGTGTCGCCGGATGTCGCCAGCGCTCCATTGAAATGAATGGGATCTTGTTGCTTTGTCGCTGCGTGTCGCTGGCGGTGTGAACGAGGCTTTAGTGTCTTCCTCATTCAACACACAGGATTGAGACTAACCGTGTGTGTGTGTGTGTGTGTGTGCAGATGCACTATGTGCAGGATAAGGTGTTCGTGGGGCTGGACCAGGCGCTGCACGGTTTCAGTGTGAAGGAGTGTGTGGAGGGTCCGGGCTGCTCGTATCTTCAGCACATTCAGGCAGAGACGGGAGCCAAAGTGTTCCTGCGGGGGAAAGGGTCGGGGTGTCTGGAGCCGGCGTCAGGGCGGGAGGCGTTCGAGCCCATGTACATATACATCAGGTGTGTGTACGGATCACACACACTCACAGTCAGTGTTCAGGCAGTTGAAGCACACCCCTGTTCATGAGTTTCTCTGTTCCTCCAGTCACCCAAAACCAGAAGGACTCGCTGCTGCAAAAACCCTCTGTGAAAACCTCCTGCAGACCGTAAGACCCGTCTCTCTCTCTCTCTCTCTCTCTCTCTCTGTCTCTCTCTGTCTGTCTAATATTATTTTTATTAGGGATGTCCCGATCCGATACTCAGGATCGGTATCGGCTCCGATCCAGCCATTTTTGCGGGATCGGGTATCGATCAGACGAGGCCGATCCAAATCCGATATTGTGTGTATACTATTATGTTATTGTTAAAGGGTTAGTTCACCCAAAAATGAAAATTAAGTCATTAATTACTCACCCCCATGCTGTACCAACCCCGTAAGACCTTCGTTCGTCTTCGGAACACAAATGAGGATATTTTTGATTAAATTTGAGAGCTGTATAACTACCACATTGGCTCCTAAAGGACTGCCTCTTGACGGCCCAGAAAGTCAATGAAGAAAATGTTTAAATATCCCAAGTGACTACCGTGGCTCAACTATATGTTTATCAAGCGACGCGAATACTTTTTGTGCGAAAAAACAAACAAAAATAACGAGTTTATTCGACTATTTCTTTTCTTCCTTGTAGGCCAGAACGAGACTTACTTAGATTTCCACGACGCATGCGCGAGAATTGCGATCTCCTTACACCAGCTTACACCACTTCAGATCGCAATTCTCGCGCATGCGTCGTGGAAATCTAAGTAAGTCTCGTTCTGGCCTACAAGGAAGAAAAGAAATAGTCGAATAAACTCGTTATTTTTGTTTGTTTTTTCGCACAAAAAGTATTCGCGTCGCTTGATAAACATATAGTTGAGCCACGGTAGTCACTTGGGATATTTAAACATTTTCTTCATTGACTTTCTGGGCCGTCAAGAGGCAGTCCTTTAGGAGCCAATGTGGTAGTTATACAGCTCTCAAATTTAATCAAAAATATCTTCATTTGTGTTCCGAAGACGAACGAAGGTCTTACGGGGTTGGTACAGCATGGGGGTGAGTAATTAATGACTTAATTTTCATTTTATGGGTGAACTAACCCTTTAAGCCCCACAGAAGTCACAAAAACATTCTAAAGTACCATAACGTTTTCGTGCACTCTATTATAAGTGTTCTGAAGCCATTATGTGAGAGAGAAATTAATATTTAAGTCATTAAATTCAAGATCACATAAACTTTTCCCTCTCGCGGCTGTCAGTCATTCTCCATTCAGGACTCAAACAGCGCGTCGCGTTCGGTTACAGTAAATGATGAAACTATCTTCAAGATGATTCAATGTTAATACTATTATACTTTATCTGTAGATAAAGGTCTATGTTTTCTAATAAAACAACATTATCTTGCTGGACTTTATTCCTGTAACTATCGTGTTACTTCCTACCAGGTGTCGGACGCTGTCTGTTAGATCACAACACCAGACTCGGAGCACTATTGTTCTTCACGCGCACAGTAACTGAAATTTAAAACTGTTTAAAGAAAAGGCTCAATAAACTATTGTATAGATAGATACTGTTTAATACACTGTCCATCAATATGTATTTCCTTTGTGCTTTGAACTTTTCAAAGCGGACTCGACGCGCAACATGCATAGTGTGCATACTCGGCTGCGTGCTGCTGTAACTCCACGTGGTTTCAAGCGCCTCATTCTCCGCTCGGAATGCGCATAAGCGCTTTGTGCCGCACTGTGTTGGAGTCATTCATATCATAATGCAGTGACGTAATTAAAGCTTATTAACATTAATAATTATTAATGTTGCTGCCTCATTAAATAGCTGTGCTATACATTTAATGTCTCAATTTTTTAGTATATAAAAAATATATAAAATAATTACTTGGTTATATATAAAATAATTATCTTTTTCATTTTTGTTATATTGTTTTTCATAAATGTATTTTACAACAATACAAAGAGCAATATGTATTATTCACTAATCTAGTTTATAACAGCATTTGTTGTCATAGATTATGATCATATATTTTGGGGATTTGTTGTTTATCTTTATATTGAAGCTGTCTGTATTAAGTAGATTGTGTTTAACACACACAAGAGTGATAATCAGTTTAACACACAGTTAGAGAAATTCTACTTGCTTTAAAAAAACTGTACTGCTATTTAAAATGTAGAATACTGCTGTTTAAATTGTTTTAACTTTAAACCTGTTGGTAGCTAGCTAGCTTTAAGGTCTGAAGTACCTGCATTTTCTTTTATATATATATATATATAGTGTTTGAATAAAGGGTGGGATGTGAACTATATACTGGAGGTATATTTTAAGGGGCTAATTGAGAAAATTGCTATATTTTTTATTAGTTTAAAATATCGGATTAATATCGGTATCGGCAAAAGCCAAAACTGTGGCATCGGTATCGGAAGTGAAAAAGTGGTATCGGGACATCCCTAATTTTTATACTATTATAGTTTAAAAATGTATCATTTAATATTTATATTATTTCAGCTTCAATTCAATGAATTAAAACTGAATTTAATAGTCTTTCTTGATTAACTGTAATAACTGTGTGTGTGTGTGTTTGTGTGTCTGGCAGGTTCATGCTGAGTATTCTAGATTCCTGAATCAGATGAGCAGTGTGATGCCCACTCAGGGTAAACACACACACACACACACACACACACACACACTCATCAGGCTGATCTCATGAAATGGTGTGTGTATACCACCGTGCTATCAACACGCATAATCGCTCTCAGCGTGTTTCTGAACGGCGTTAACCGAACGTTACACTACTGTATAAATATACGAGCGACCCCAACCCGACCCGTCACTGGGGTTAACACGAGTTATGAGTCTCCCTCACCATCAGAGGGAAAACGTGTCTCGCTCCACAGATGTAGATCTGCATTTTGCTTCGTTTCGCAGACTTGACTTGGAAGTGGCGTGTGTGTGTACACAAGTCATGATCTCATGTTGCACACACACACACACACTCTCCACACTCACTCACACAGCTTGTATGTTCTTATCTGCTGAGTCTGATCAGTGTGTGTGTGTGTGAGCAGGTTTTCTCCAGCCTCCTGCTATGAACGGGATGCCTCCTCAGTCTCAGTATTATCCTCATCCTCCCGCCGGATTCCAGCCGTATCCGGTTCCTGTTCCTCCGCAGCCCGTCGCTCCTCCGTATCCGGTGTCTCCCGCGGCCCCGGGGCCCGCCCCCCCCGCGCAGTATCCCCTCGCGCCCGCTAGCGTCCCGGCACAGGTAACCCGCGCTCACCTGCGTGTGTGTGTGTGTGTGTGTGTGTGTGTGTGCGCACTGCTCGTCTGATTCAGGAGTCTAGAATACTCAGCATGAACCTATCAGACGACGACACACACACACACACACACACACACACACAGTGTTATTACAGTAAAGGGGTGAAACTAACACTACTAACACTGTGTGTGTGTGTGTCACATCTCTCTCTCTCTCTCCAGACTCTTCCTCCAGCTCAGTTCCCGCCCCCTGCCATGGCTCCACCCTCACTCTCAGCTCCTCCCAGACCCGTGGCTCCACCCAGACCTGTGGCTCCGCCCCTCCCGCCACAGAAGCGCCGCTTCACCGAGGAGGTGCCGGACGAGTCGGAGCAAGGCCTTCTGGGATACCAGGTGAGCTGTCGGCCCACGCCGGACCCTGCTCTCGTCACCGTTTGGCTTTCTCCCGTTTCTGTAGGTGTGTGTGACGCCGGCTTGCTGTCGCCACGGTGATGGACGGTTTGTGGGCGGGGCCTGCGGGTCTGCAGGATCTGCATGTCTAGTGAAGGACAGCTGATAAGAGCAAACTCTAGTGAGCCGCAGATCTACACCAGCCCCAGTCAGGTCACTTCGTGTCGTCAGATACTCTTAGAGTTTCATTCAAATCTGAAAAAATAGTGTTTTTATTTGTACTTTAGTTTGGCATTTTCATTATTATTGTTTTAAACACATGGCCCTTGTTATATACCTGTGGTGATTATTAGCGTACAGCGGCTCACTGGGGTACTGCTCACTGACTGTGTGTGTGTGTGTGTGTGTGTGTGTGTGTGTGTGTGTGAGAGAGATATGATCAGTCACTGATGTGTGTGTGTGAGAGATGATCAGTCACTGATGTGTGTGTGTGTGTGTCTGTAAAGGAGGGTGTGTGTTAATGCTGTTGTGTTTTTCTGCTCATAGCATGGACCCATTCATATGACTAATTTAGGTGCAGGCATGTCTGTGGGCAGCCCAGAGCCGTCAGGACCCCCGTCTGCTGCTTCCTCAGGGCCTGTGAGAGAGAGAGACAGGTCAGACACACACACATCACGTGATGTGATAAATTCACTTGTATATAATGATTTTATAAACATTTTCATAATTTTCTGTATTGAAAGTGAATGTGATTGTGTGTGTGTGTGTGTGTGTGTGTGTGTGTTGCGCAGCAGCAGAACGATCATGCCGTGTGTGTCAGCGCCGCTCAACGGACTGAGATCTCAGAAAGCAGACGAAAAGACGGCGCCGCCGAGCCTTCTGGGTAAGACATGACTCACACACACACTCCTGCTGATGCCTGTCATCACACACACACACACACACAGACACAGATGAGCTGCAGCAGCGGGACTGTATCATTAGCACAGGTAAAGCTGAAGTGTGGCGTTTCACAGGAAATGACACGCTTCAGCTTGAGGGCCGTGATTGGTCAGTTGAGTTGAGGCTCCTCCCCTGCCGTGCCGTGTGACTCCGCACTAACAGGCGTCTCTCTTGTGTTCTGTGTTCTCTCTCTTTCTCTGTGTTTTTTCTCTCTCTCTTTCATGTCCCTGCGGGGGGATGCTGGATGGGCGGGGCCTCGTTCCCTTCCGCCTCCTGATTGGACGCTTCCAATGACATGCGGTTATTTAACTTCCTGTTTCCTTGATTGCTGGTATGGTGTTGTTTGTGTGCTTGTCTCTGGTTTCTGGTGTCATCAGAGCCGCAGGTGAAGCGGGCCCGGGCCGGGCTGGTGGCGTACGCCGGAGATTCCTCGGATGAAGAGGACGATCACGGAGCCTCCAAAGGATATACGTACCTCTCGCCTTCTCCTCACCGGCCCAAAACACACACACACACACACACGCCGCAGCCCTTCTGGATGGCACCGTAGACACACACACACACACACACACACACACACACACAGGTAGCGTCGTCATTCATGGCCTCATCCGCTCCGAAAGACTCTGGCTCAGATGAGGAGCCGCAGAAGTCAGCATGTGACTGATCATGTGACTGATGGCAGATCATGTGACACCGCTGGACTCACGTTTTAAAGCCGGCTCTGTTTTAGTTTCTTCTTCACTTTGATTTGTAATGTAACTGTGATTCTCTTGACAAATAAACTCATTTACTCACAGAATGTGCGTGTCCTGTTTATTCTTCTACAGCCGTAAAGTTGATTTTAGAGTTAATTCTATGAGATTATGAGTCTACCGCACAACTGTAGAGTTCTGTAACGATGGAAACATTGGCAGCCAATCAGAATCCACCCTGCTTTAGCCCGGTGCTCTGCGTGGCGTTTAAAAAGACACAACTTTTTTTTGTTTCAATGAAAGGAATTTACTATATTTTAAGGGGGTTAGAATTAGAACAAAAATACTATCTTGAATTTTTATTTGAAATAAATATTTTCAAAAACACTTTTCACTCTAAAACTGCAAGAAAATCAAAGCAGAAGACAAAAAAAAGTTTTTCGCAAATCTGTCTGTAAAGGAAATGTGTTCGACGCGGAGGGGTCGGAGGCGGGTTCGAGCACCGTGTTAAAGGGATACGCCACTTTGAAACGCCACTAAGCACACATTGATGGCCTAAGACACGAAACGAGCGGTTTGTGTGAGAAAACCAACAGTATTTATACCGTTTTTACCTCGTGTAATCACAGTGATCTGAATCTGTTGTTCAATGTCCAACTGAACCGAACTGAATCAGTTCAATGTTACGCCGGAAGTGATCGCTCGCGTGTGACGTCACTCAATATTTACACGGAGATTTCGGAAGTTTTACCTTTTACTAAACATATTTAGATATACCGAAATCATCTTCCATTGCGGTTTCCCGTATATCTAAATATGTTTAGTGAAAGGCAAAACTTCCCAAATCTCCGTATTAACAGAGAGTGACGTCGATCACTTCCAGACCGAAGCGCCCGTGCCGTCAGTGGCTGTGATTACACGAGGTAAAACTATATAAATACTGTTGGTTTTCTCACACAAACCGCTCGTTTCGTGTCTGAGGCCATCAGTGTGTACTTACAATTACGAGTCATTAAATCATGTTTAATCTGGACTTCTCTGTGCTGCTCTTTGGTGGACCCCCTTAGCCTCCAGTGTATGACTGATAGACAACAACGGTTTGACTGAAAAATGTCAAAATTGAAAATACTGTGGAAACAAAGAAACCCACATCTCGGATGCCCTTGAGGGAAGATAAAACATATCAAACATTAATTTCAAAGTGAACTATCCCTTTAAACTTCGGAGAGCTCCCTCAAAGGACTTTTGCAGGATGAGATGTTTGTCATTATTGTTAGTTTTTTTTTATTGTTAACATTATTATTACTTATACTTATTGTTATTATTAGTTCACATTATGCTCTTTGTTATAGTTATCATTATTAGTGTTATTGTTATCGTCGTTATACTATGATATCAAGTGCATCTTTAATTCATCAAGCAGAAGTTATCAACACACATTTATATTCGACTCACACAATATTTGAGAATTAAATCCCTTTATTCAAAGTTAACAGCTCAAACTGGATTCCCATGATTTTCTGACAGTATTTACATTCCCTAAAGCTGTTCTCCCACAGGTGAAGTCCGAGGGAGTGTGTGTTCTGGGGTCAGCTCTTCGTGTCCAGGATGAAGTCTGCGGGGAGTGTGTGTTCTGGCGTGCGCCGGAGCTGTTCGTCATGCGAGCGCAGTGTCCAGAGCTTCTCCAGCTCATACGTGTCTCTGGTGTCCGACAGCATGAGGTGAAGCACCATGGATCCTGCGGGACAGAACACGGTCAGTCACACACACACACACACACACACACTCACACTACGAACCGAAGTCGATGCACTTCCAGTCGTCGCAGTCTCTGCCCTCCAGCCGAACGTGCCGCTCCTCGTTCTTACGCAGGAACTTAAACTGCGAACACAAAGAGTGTTTCAGATCGAACCCGGACACACGTCCACTGAACCGAGAGTCTCCGCGTCATCCGGGTCTATGGAAGTGTTTCTGCCTGGGAATAAACCATAAAAAAGGGAACTGACTCCCAGTTTATAACTCACACTTCTCAGTTCATTGCTCACTATCAAATGTGTTTATTCTCAGGTGAAAAGAAGCTTCCATAGATCTCGGTTCAGTGTGTGTTTCCAGCGCGCGTCTTTACCGCTTTGAGCGCGCTCTCTGCCATGGCGCTGAGGTGGCGCGGGGAAGATCCGCTCACGATGATCATGTGATCGGTGTACCTGAGCTCAGGTGAAACCCGGATGACACAGATGTCGGAAGCGTTCTCCTGCCTCAGGGCCGACACCAGCAGACCCACGTCAAACCCTGAACACACACACACACACACACACAACAGGAACACTTCACTAAAACACTGTGGAAGTCAATGGGGTCCAACAACTGTAGAACAATATCTCTGTATTCGACAAATAAAAGAAACTCGTACAGGGAGACAAAATGATGAGAGAACTTTTGGGAAATTTGGGGTTAACTGTCCCTTTAACTGCGTGTAATTATGCATACTTTATTATTACTACAGTTACAGTACATGTCATGTGCAACAATGTTCTGTTACTTTTAAATTTGCATGAAACTCAAACCTATTTTAAGACCCTCCTGATTTCAACATTAGACATTAGAGTTGCAATAATGAGAAGAGTAACATAAACGAGCTTGACTATCAAAATTAGTTTATCAATTTATTTAGCAGATGTTAGTACGAGGCAGACATGAGTTGTGTGTCAGAGCCTCACCTCGAGCTGTGTCGGTCTGGAGCTCGGCGCGTGTTGTGCTGTTTTCTGCTGTGGTTGTGAGGTGTTGAGTGTGTGTGTGTGTGTGTTGTGTGTTCTGCTGTACAGACGAGCTGAAGCCTGCGACTCTGAAGAGCCCGCGAGGAGCTGGACACCGCAGACAGCGCGCTAACATCATTCTTGTGTGTGTGTGTGTCATTCATGAGGACGTTATTCGAGAAAGCACGTGATCTGAGGTCTCGCTCTATCGGAGTCGTCCTTGCTTCTGCGGCTGCGCGCGTGTGACGTCACCGGATGTTGTTTTACGTTCGTGAATGTGCTTAGCAGCTGCGTTGGTGTTTTTTAAACATGTTTTTTTAGACCATTAAAAGCCTCTTTTTACTTTTGTACCACAGACAGCCAGCTCTGCCCAGTTTGAGAAATAATTTCTCAAAATATGAATCTGTTCCTCATGACATTCAAGACATGAAAACCATCATCAGGTGTAAATCACTCAGGATGAACATGAGGTTAGCTGATAAACCATTCTAACATCTCAGAAATAGAGAAATGTTATATTTATACACAGTATCCCCTTCATGATGAGACAGTGCGGATGAATTATTAATACACAGCATATTTAGTTTTACTGTTGTTTTTGGTTTGTGGCCATCTGGTGGTCAAAGGGTTGAACAGCACTTACAAAACTGCTTAATCAATATTAAACACTTTAAATGATAATTTCAAGTCATTCACACTAAAAGAAAATATATTAAACAAACACGAGATCTGCAACCTGTGTATTTTAAATAGTCAGCTTTATTTCTACAGTACAGCTCGTTACACAGTAATAAACAGGACAATAACAGTTACTTAATGTTGTTTATGATTCACATGTGTGAAGTACAGAGATGTGGAAGTGCGTTAGAGACTCCTGCAGACGGGCTGTGACGACTCTTCGGCTGCTGATGCCGTCGATGACCTGGAGAGAGAGAGAGAGAGTGGAGTGAGAGTGTGTGAGAGGAGTGTGTGGAGTGAGAGGAGTGTGTGGAGTGTGTGAGAGGAGTGTGTATCTGAGGAGCACAGATGTGGCCAGCGGTGCAGGAGGAGAACAGATGCAGCACATCAGCGGATCTGAGCGTCTCGAGCTGGCTCGTTCATCTAGCGAATGGCTAGCTCTGATCTGACCACTGACAGGCCCGACAGACGAGAAGATTCGCGCACACACACACACACACACACACACACACACACACGGACAGAGAGAGAGAAGTCAATCTCACCTTGATCTGCAGGAGCCTTCCTGTGCGAGAGAGAAAAACAACAGTTAAAAAATGTGAAATCGCTGGTGTTTCTGACGTCACAAACGACCTTGTAACCAATCAGATCAACGTGTGATCGTCAACCAGTGGATCTCTGAGTGAGTGGAGGCGGGGCTCATTTGCATATTCATAGAACCGCGCATACTAACGAGGCGAGGGTGTCGAGTCACATTCAAGATATTTTAAATTCTTAAGACATTTTTTTTTTTTTCAATGAAACAAAAGTTTAAATGTCAGTCATTTTGGTGATCAAAGATGAGTTATAAGGAATACAATTATTGACTACAGGGGGACTTTAAAACTAACACAAACTACAAAAGCCATCAACAAAATAAAATAAATTCTAAGATCACATAAAACTAGCAGAAACACCAAAATCATTCGAGTAAACAATTATTATATTATATTCATAAAACTCGTCCACGTGCGTTACTGTGCGAGCACGCGCTCCGGCGTCTCGCGATAGAGAACTAAATCACCCGATTACAATTACAGCACAATAAACCTGATTTAGATCAGACACATTAGAAAACACCGTTCAGAGGTAAAATACTTACTATATGAGCTTAGAACCGAGGAGAAATGAGGAATGGCGGAGTCTCACACACACACACACACTCTCTCTCCTTCTCCCTGAAGCTTTCCTGTGTTGTCGAATAGGGTTTTACCGCCATCGACTGGTAAGGAGTGTGTGGATTAAAAATGACATACTCCCTTCCCTTTTCCTTTGTTTTTTAATCCTCTCCCACAAATGAGTTATTTTAAAATAATATGTAAACTATAAAATTCATTGTGTGAAATATGTCCTTATATAAATATATTTTTGGTAAGATTTTGCATTATATTTCTTCTTTCAGCCTCGTATTTCTGACAGAATATGTTCATAATTTCTCGTCTCATACACATTTTATACTTGTGCTGTTTAGTTGTGTGTGTCCAAATCTCATCCTTGATATTATAATCTCCTCTCTCCTGTTTTCCTTCTCCCACTTTCCCTCTTTCCTTTGCATGCTACAAAACCATCGATCTTTCTTCTTCTTCAACCTTTATTAATAATACTCTTGATTTCAGTCTTACTTAGCTTAACAATTAAATTAATGTCATTGTTCTTTAGGTTTTATGGCTTTTTTCTGACTTATCTGACGTTCCTATTATTCCATTATTCTGACATGCCCCCTGCGCGCGCGCGCGCGCGCACACACACGCTCACACACAATGCTGTGATGTCATTGACTGGCAGCTGTTGGATACTTTTATTAAAGTTTATAGACAGTATTTGGCGAAGGCATGGGCCCATACATCGGTTATTTTTGGATGATGGACAAAATCAGTTCTGTAAAGTTCTGATAAAGTTTTAAAGTTCATCTGAATGGATCAAGAACTGACTCTGATAATGTTGTTGTTGAGCAGATCCACAGTCCAGTCAGTTTCAGATCCACAACTCGGGCAGTGACCATTTCCATGAATGAACAGTGACAGGTGATTGTCAGGCTGATGTTTGGATCCGAACTGCGCATGCGCGTCATCTCCGTCGCTCCAGTGAGTTTGAGCTGCAGCGCGTTTCATTCCAGACGCGCGTGTTGGACATGAGCGCACATCCTTACATCTAAAGAACGCGATTTAAACTAGTTTCAGAAGCTATCTTCGGGTTTTCTTCACACAGACAGTCTTCGGGTGATTGCGTGATTATGGGCTGTTCGTCTTCCAGCACCCAGACGCTCGCGCAGGAGGACCGCCCGGGCGTCAAAGCGGAGGACGCGCGCGGGGAAACTCTGCGTAAGTTCAACATTCCTCATAAACATGCCATCAGTCCAGATGCACTACAGCTCTGAGAACGCCTGGCGTGCTGTTATCATCTTACATGTACTTAAACGTGTAGTCTGAGATTTACATCTTAGTCATATTATTGGGAATCTTTAATCATTAAAATCGATGTGCAGCATCTTATTTCTGTCTATGCTGACACACACACACACACACACTCAGATGACGATGATCAGCACAGACAGCTCAGACCCGGTCAGGACTCGTTTGGCCCCGGGCGTCGCTCTGTTCCTCTGGTCCGACCAGTCGCTGTGTTTCCAGATCATGTTCACCTCGGCGCTTCCATTGAGAGACAGGCACACACACACACACACACACACACACACACACACACACACAGTGACTCGGTCCGTGAGAAGATCAGCTTCACCCTGTTAATCAGCTGGAGCAGAAACTCTGTCATGATGTTCCAGTGTGTGTTTATCTGCGCTGTTTGTTCTCTCATAGGGTTCGTGTCAAACATAAAATACACACTCGCACTCACACTTTAAGATAGCCTGTGTTTGAGGAGAAGGGTTGAGTTCAGAGTTCAGCAAGTCAAGAAGCTTCGTTTAAAAATCAATAATGAGGGAAAACATGAGAATAAAAGAACACAAACTCTTAATAAGAGAGTCATCACCCGTGAGTTCAGTCCAAACGGGCACCGTACTGCTGTTTCCACACACTCACACACACACCGTCTGTAGTGAGTCTGTCATCTTTGGCTGAAGTTGTATGTTGCTGCGGTCTGATGTTGTGTATCTGATGTTGTGTGTGTGATGTTGTGTGTCGCTGCGGTCTGATGTTGTGTGTCTGATGTTGTGTGCTGCTGCGGTCTGATGTTGTGTGTCGCTGCGGTCTGATGTTGTGTGTCTGATGTTGTGTGCTGCTGCGATCTGATGTTGTGTGTCTGATGTTGTGTGTCTGATGTTGTGTGTCTGATGTTGTGTGTCGCTGCGGTCTGATGTTGTGTATCTGATGTTGTGTGTCTGATGTTGTGTGTCGCTGCGGTCTGATGTTGTGTGCTGCTGCGATCTGATGTTGTGTGTCTGATGTTATGTGTCAGATGTTGTGTGTTGCTGCGGTCTGATGTTGTGTGTCTGATGTTGTGTGTCTGATGTTGTGTGTCGCTGCGGTCTGATGTTGTGTGTCTGATGTTGTGTGTCGCTGCGGTCTGATGTTGTGTGTCTGATGTTGTGTGTCAGATGTTGTGTGTTGCTGCGGTCTGATGTTGTGTGTCTGATGTTGTGTGTCAGATGTTGTGTGTTGCTGCGGTCTGATGTTGTGTGTCTGATGTTGTGTGTCTGATGTTGTGTGTCGCTGCGGTCTGATCTTGTGTGTCTGATGTTGTGTGTCTGATGTTGTGTGTCGCTGCGGTCTGATGTTGTGTGTCTGATGTTGGGTGTCAGATGTTGTGTGTTGCTGCGGTCTGATGTTGTGTGTCGCTGCGGTCTGATGTTGTGTGTCTGATGTTGTGTGTGTGATGTTGTGTGTTGCTGCAGTCTGATGTTGTGTGTCTGATGTTGTGTGCTGCTGCGGTCTGATGTTGTGTGTCTGATGTTGTGTGTCAGATGTTGTGTGTTGCTGCGGTCTGATGTTGTGTGTCGCTGCGGTCTGATGTTGTGTTTCTGATGTTGTGTGTTGCTGCGGTCTGATGTTGTGTGTCTGATGTTGTGTGCTGCTGCGGTCTGATGTTGTTTGTCTGATGTTGTGTGTCGCTGCGGTCTGATGTTGTGTGTCTGATGTTGTGTGTTGCTGCGGTCTGATGTTGTGTGTCTGATGTTGTGTGTCTGATGTTGTGTGTCGGATGTTGTGTGTCTGATGTTGTGTGTCTGATGTTGTGTGTCGCTGCTGTCTGATGTTGTGTGTCTGATGTTGTGTGTCTGATGTTGTGTGTCGCTGCGGTCTGATGTTGTGTGTCTGATGTTGTGTGTCTGATGTTGTGTGTCTGATGTTGTGTGTCGCTGCGGTCTGATGTTGTGTGTCTGATGTTGTGTGCTGCTGCGGTCTGATGTTGTGTGTCTGATGTTGTGTGTCTGATGTTGTGTGTCGGATGTTGTGTGTCTGATGTTGTGTGTCTGATGTTGTGTGTCGCTGCTGTCTGATGTTGTGTGTCTGATGTTGTGTGTCTGATGTTGTGTGTCGCTGCGGTCTGATGTTGTGTGTCTGATGTTGTGTGTCGCTGCGGTCTGATGTTGTGTGTCTGATGTTGTGTGTTGCTGCGGTCTGATGTTGTGTGTCGGATGTTGTGTGTCTGATGTTGTGTGTCTGATGTTGTGTGTCGCTGCGGTCTGATGTTGTGTGTCTGATGTTGTGTGTCGCTGCGGTCTGATGTTGTGTGTCTGATGTTGTGTGTCGCTGCGGTCTGATGTTGTGTCTGATGTTGTGTGTTGCTGCGGTCTGATGTTGTGTGTCTGATGTTGTGTGTCTGATGTTGTGTGTCGGATGTTGTGTGTCTGATGTTGTGTGTCTGATGTTGTGTGTCGCTGCTGTCTCTCCTCAGTGCCGCTGACCTTCAGGAAATTACTTTTTCTTGAGGAAATGAGTTCAGAACGGGGAAGAACCTGCAGGCTTGTGATGCTCTGCGTGTGTGTGTGTGTGTGTGTGTGCTCTCACATCCGGATGCAGTGTGTGTCCTCCCGTTCGTATAAAACGAGAGCTTTCGTGTGTTTTTTCGTGCGCTCTCCCTGTACGAGTAGCAGTGTGATCCTTCAAGCTCTATCATGAAGGCCTTCGATCGGATCGCATCCCTCTCTGCCACGTCTCTCCCTTACGTCCAAAGGCTGCTCCCACAGGAGAAATTCCTGAGGAGCTTTCAGAAGAATGTCCCCAGGACCGCTGCTTCCTCCAGTTCCTCCACTAAGGACAGCAAGCCAAGAACGCTTTACCTTATTAGCTTGAAGACTAAATGGGCAAACTTTAGTTCACAATGCAACTCTGGTGGGAGTGAAGCCATCTAATCTTTCATTTAAAGGGTAACTGGACTGCATTACAGACCCAATAGCCATCAAAGCGCTTTACATTTGGCCTTACATCAGCTGTCCCTCCACCTCCCCGACTCCACCTGCATAATTTAGGCATCTCTAGCACACACACACTCCTCACCGGGGGGTTATCTCAGCTTGAGTTGAAGCGGCTTCCTCGAGCCCGTCCAATGCGGTCAGCAAGATTATATGGGCAAAGGAACTCGTGAAATGATCTTTAATTGTGTTCTAACGTCTGTGATGCATAACCTGTATATAATGTAGTTATCAGACCAGTCCAATGAAGCAAGATCAACACTGGCTGAACACTCAGTATGCGGTTCAGATGAGAGACTCGGGCAGTTTCTGTTGGGTTTCCATGAGAGCGTCTTCCATGATGCTTCATTAGAGTTTGGAGATAGATAAATATTAACTATTAAAGCGAGGCAGGAATGTGTGTTTCTAATTATTTACTCCTTGTTACAGTTTCTGAGTTCAGCTGAAACCATACATTGTTTTAAAGTTACATTTGGGGTGTGGTTAACTTTTATCTGTTCAGACTACAGACAGATAAATGGATTTGACTGTGATATGATTGTTGATGTCAGGGCTTTGCTTTGAGGCATGAGCTGAAAAACATAAGCATTCAATCAAATCCATGTGATCTGAGAGCGAATATTTCCTGTGCCCACTTGCTCTAGGCACAGTTTATATAACGGGTCAAGAATATGGAGAACTCTTTGGCTAATTTAGATTTCATAACTAAAAGAAATGATTTATTCTGATGACAAACAATTATGTTTGCATGTTAGTTTAATGCATGTTAATAAACTTTATTTCCCCTCTGCTTGTGTTCTTTTGCCAGTCAATGGTAATGGGATTGTAGCAGAAGTCAGTGAGACCATCTCAGACCAGATGCAGTTGCCGGTTCAGAGCAGTGTTCTGGACCAGATGGTTCCGGGACCGGCGGATACGGAGAACCAGGACTGGAAACCCGAGCAGACAGCGGTCAGCGGCAGTGATGCTGCTCTGGAGGCCATAGAACCAGCAGACGTTCTTGCTGCTACAGAACTCATCATCACTACAGCTGCAGAAACAGTCCTAGCTCTGGAACCAACATCAGATCTCACACCAGTTCAGCTCATTCCCACTCCAGAACCCAAGCCAGCTGAGCTGACGTCAGCTCCAGAATTACCATCAGATGTCCCAGTGGAACCAAGCCCTGCTCTAGAACCAACTCCAGCTCCAGAACCCACTCCAGCTCTCGAACCCACTCCAGTGGAACCAAGCTCTGCTCTAGAACCAACTCCAGCTCCTAAACCCACTCCAGTGGAACCAAGCTCTGCTCTAGAACCAACTCCAGCTCCAGAACCCACTCCAGCTCTCGAACCCACTCCAGTGGAACCAAGCTCAGCTCTAGAACCAACTCCAGCTCTAGAACCCACTCCAGTGGAACCAATCCAAGCTCTAGAACCAACCCTAGCTCCAGAACTCACTCCAGTGGAACCAAACCCTGCTCTAGAACCAACTCCAGCTCAAAAACCTGCTCTAGAACCAGCTCCAGAACCCACTCCAGTGGAACCAAGCCCTGCTCCAGAACAAACTCCAGCTCCAGAACCCACTTCAGTGGAACCAAGCCCTGCGCTACAACCAACTCCAGATCCAGAACCCACTCTGGTGGAACCAAGCCCTGCATTAGAACCAACTCTAGCTCCAGAACCCGCTCCTGCTCTAGAACCAGCTCCAGAACCCACTCCAGTGGAACCAAGCCCTGCGCTACAACCAACTCCAGCTCTAGAACAAACTCTGGTGGAACCAAGCCCTGCGCTACAACCAACTCCTGCTCTAGAACCAACTCTGGTGGAACCAAGCCCAACTCTAGAACCAACTCCAGCTCCTGAACCAACTCTAGTGGAACCAAGCCCAGCTCTAGAACCAATTCCAGTGAAACCAACTCCAGCTCCTGAACCGACTCCAGTGGAACCGAGTGCAGCGCCTGTGATGGAGGCAGTAGCTGCAGAGGGTAAAGCATGGGATTATGGGGCAGTAAATGGGGTCACAGGGAAGGTCAAACTAATTCATTACACTGGCGGCATCTGCAGCAGCAATCTTTCCACTCATACCTTCGCAGCTCCTGGTGTAAATCAGTGTTTAATGTTGTTCATGTGTGTGTGTGGTGTGTTTAACACGCTTAAACCGTGTGTGCGTTGATAAGTGGACAGCATTGCTGAGTATTTCCTCATTGAAACTGCAGTGAACCAAAGACAGTCTCAAAAACACACTTTGAAATCGCTGGTGTTTCTGACGTCACAAACCGCCTTGTAACCAATCAGATCAACGGGTGATCGTCAACCAGTGGAGTGAGGGAGTGAGTGAGTGGAGGCGGGGCTCATTTGCATATTCATAGAACCATGCATGCTAAATGAGGCGAGGGTGTCGAGTTACATTCAAGATATTTTAAGGCATGAAAAAAGGAGAAAACGTAAATATGTAATTCTGGTGATCAAAGATGAGATTTAAGGGATACAACTATTGACCACAGGGGGACTTTAAATGATGGTTCTGATTATTTCAGAGCAAAGCATCAGATTTAAAACACTTAAAGTAAAACATGTGTCACCACACACACTGTAGACGGAAGTGCTGGGTCACAGAGCAGGGATTGTGTTGTCCAGTCTAGACAGAGACACAGAACATGTGTCCCGCACACACAGCGCTCTCTCGCTGACACATTATCACTCTTTGTGTCCAGCCAAAATTCACAATAACTCTGTTGCCTCAGATGAAGTAAGATGGAGCACTGCTCATGATGGCATCGGTGACGCCCGGCGCTGGCCGTGACACACTGACCTTCACACAACACTGAAGGACACTCGTCAATATCCTGATTCTGATACAACCAGTCATTCATAATATGAGCCGGTGGATCAGAAATGGGAGTTGTGTGTAAATTATGAAATACGATAAGCACAAACTCTTTCCTGATAGACGTGTGTGTGTGTGTGTGTGTGTGTTTCAGGGGCCGGAGAGGATGCCGGATCTGCTGAAACCCACAGAAACTGAAGACTGGTGTTGGAGCGCTCACTCAGACGTGCCTTCTGTTCTCTGCGAGTGTGTGTGATTCACACACATGTATGAGTCTTTCTATAGCTTTAGTGTTGTTGTTAATGGCCAGGAAAATGCCTTACCTCGTCAAACACGAGCGATAAACCTAAACTCCTCCGAGGAACACGAGCCGTGTGTGTGTGTGTGTGTGTGTGATGCTCAGAAGGGTTCTGTCTCCTATATGTGTGTAGTGCCGTCTCTGCTCAGTTTGACTCGTGTGTGAATCGGAGAAGTGTATTAATCAGTGATGTCGGGTTACTGTAATCTGTAGTTTGTGGTGATTGATGGTTATAAACTCTAACGAAGCTCGTGATCGGATCCGCTTTAACTCTCAGACCTCCGGAAGGACAGCTGTGTGTGTGTCTGTGTGCGTGTGTGTGTGTGTCTGTGTATGAGCGTGTGTGTGCCTTCAGCTGCTCATTATAAAGCTTTATTAAACTGTGACAGGATCTGTGTCCTGTGTGTCTCTTTACATTTATACATGCACAGAATAAATACTGTTACTAATAAAATAATTATATATTGATTTGTCTTTCATAAACATGTTCTGGATTTTAATTACAGGAGAATATTGCAGTTGATCTTGCAGTAAAATAAATGAGAGCCTGAAATGAAATCTCTCTCTCTCTCACACACACACACACACACACACACACACACACACACACACACACACACACACACACACACACTCCAGAGCTGATTGTGTGTTTGGATCGTGGGGAAACTGATGGAAACCTAATAGGCACTGAATTAAAATACACATTAAAGAATTAAAAGTGATTAAAGGTAATTATTTAGACCTGAACTCCTGATCATTTGTTTGATACTGTGAATGTCTCTCATGTTCAGGCTTTATTTTTAATACACAACATATTTAATAAGATAGGCCTACATTTACAATTTCAAAAATCGATTAGTGTTAAAGGGATATAGGTCATCTTGTTCCAAACCTGTATAAAATTATTTGTTCTGTTGAACACAAAGGGAGATATTTGGAAGAACAATTAACAGAAAAACTAAATATATACTATGAAAATCAAAGATGTCCATCAACTGTTTAGTTACAAAAAATCCTCAAAATATCTTCCTTTGTGTTCAGCGAAGAAATTCATACAGGTTTGAAACAACTGTAGAAAGAGTAAATGAAAACAGAATTTTCATTTTTGGGTGAACTGTCCCTTTAACGTGTCTTGGTTCTGAAAGGACTACATTTCCCATCATCCTCTAAACCGGAAATAAGCGCAGCTGTGCACGTGGGCTGTCAGAGCGTGAGCTGCAGCTCGAGCAGAAACCAGAAACTTACACACAAACTGTTCAAACCGAATTAAACAGAGGAAAGTAATTGACCAGATTAACTTCGCTTCAAGGTGAGTGTGTGTTATAAATGTTATTCTGCTATAAACACCAGTTAGAGGAGAGGAACGCGCAGATCACACCATCGCCACAAACATGAAGATCTACAGGCAAACAAACTGCAACAATTTAAGGAAACACAATTAATAATTATCATTTCGCGCCCGATTCATTGATCCATGTTGATGGATATTGTTTACCTTTTTAATGAAGTGTTTAAATGAATTTTTACTTTATTCAAATTGTGTGAATGTTTTATGGAAAGAGCTCTTGTCACTACACTACACACTGCGCGCGCACACACACACACACACACACACACACTATACTACACACAGCACTCACACTATAGACCATTTCAAAAGATGTAAACAACACTGGTCCAGAAGCACTTCCTGTTTCAGTTTTTTAACACTACATAAAAGCTGGGATAAAATACAACCAACAGAACATTTAAAACTGAATCAAAAAGTTAAACAAACATCTTTAAGATGTTTTCTTTACATGTGAAATAAAGAAAACGGTTACAAACTGAAACAGGAAGTGTTTCTGGACCAGTGTTGTTTACATCTGTTGAAATGGTCTATACTACACTACACACTGCGCACACACACACTACACACTGCACACACACACTATACTACACACTGCACACACACTATACTTACTACGCTACAGATGCTGGAGAGGGGAGAAATGAATTTAGAGTGAGTGTGTGTGTGTGTGTGTGGGGGGGGGGGCTTATTCTGCACATTATTTGTAAATCTGTTATTGATCTATAACTCTATTATTGATCTATAACTCTATTATCGATCTGACTGCATTGACCCCATCATATGAGATCTGAACTGGTGATGCCGTTGCTCTCTGCAGAACCGCTTTATTAAACTCTGCTTTACTCTCAGTGTGTCTCATATTTGATGAAGTTTCATCAGTGATTCTGATATTCTCCGGTTTATTAAAGTGAAGCTGCTCTGAAACGATCTGAACTGTATTAAGCTGACGAATGATATGACAGGTGTGTGTGTGTGTGTGGTGTGTGTGTTCACTTGTGCTAACTGAAATGAATCTGTGTTTAGATGACGGGAGCAAAAGACCGAATGAGAGAGAAAAAGATGAAACACCAGCCGAGGAACGTCCCGTACACGAGCTCAGGTGATCGACTCTTCGGCCCAAATGATGCTGTCTGATCATCTATTACTTGTGCTTATTGACTGAATGCTCCTCTACAGGTCGTGGTGCTGGCAGAGGTCAGGGGTCACAGGTCTGGGTCAGAGGTCATCAGGCTGGGGGTCATGGTTACAGTCAAGATCTGCCCAAATACATCACAGGTGATCAAAAACTCTATAAAAATTATAGAACGGCTATCCCTTTAAGTTTAATTAAACAACAAAAAACAAAGAGAAAATCACTCACTGTTATAGTAGCTCCACTCCACTTTAATATTAGCGGTAATGAGAATAAATGTGTAATTTATACAGTGAAGTAGCTTAACAGTTTATTTAATTACTTTTTTGAATACTACTGTTAAATACTATTTTTTTTTAAATATTTTTATTTATTTATTTGACAGGGACAGTGTACATTAATTATCATTACTGCAAATGTACTAAAATTAGCCAAAAGGCTATTTTTCATCCATTGTCCCTGGACAGATGTTAATATTGTCTACCTTAAAAAGAAACAGCAGTTAAAACTTTACAAAGAAAATACAAAATATAAAAACAATAAAATAATATAAATCGCTAAATCCTTTAGGTAAATACAGCGTACAAATTCATTATATTATCGACATTTTGGCAAAATATAAATTTTGAGAACTAAAAAAATAAAGCAGCATTTATTTAATTTGCATATTATGTTGTGTATATGTAATGTTTGTGTTTGTTTGTATTTTTTAATAACAAAAAAATGACAGATTTTTATCTTCTCCGCTTTGGCCTGACGTCTGCCCTTCTTGTGTTTTTAAATATACTGTTCACTTGTAAGGTTTTGTTTTAAACGGGGACATTAGTTTGACTGAAATGCTCACAAATCACTGAAACCAACATCTAAAATCGTGATTTATTTTTGCCATATCGCCCAGGCCTAGTGTCGAGTTACATTCAAGCTATTTTAAGGCACGAATCTTTTTTTTTTGGAGTGTTAAGGGATGAAATGATGGAGTACAGGGACTCGTAGCCACTGAAGACATAGTTCTGTTTATGATATTGCACTTTAATGCTGAAAGTTGTTTGTGTCTCGCAGCGTCGTACTTCGCTAGAGCTCGCGCGGCGGAGGTGAGCGCCATGCTGAAGGCCGTCAGTAGACCCGCCGGCAGCTGCCACGTCTTCAACGCCCTGCCCAAACACATGCGCAGACGAGCCATGAGCCACGACTGCAAGAGGCTGCCGACACGCCTGCGCGAGGGCGCGCTACGCCTGGTACGCCACCCGCCTCCACTCACTCACAACACACTTCATTCACGGAAAGAGCAAAGTGTGTAAACGCTCCTTTAGTGGACTTGGATATCTCTCTGCTGAGGTCACAGGTCACTCAGTGCTGTGTGTGTGTGTGTGTGCAGGCGGAGCGCAGTCAGCGCGCCCCAGACCAGCAGAAGAAGCCGGTGCCGAAGAGCCGGAGTCGGCGAGCGCGCCGGAGACACGGGAACCTGTTGCTGGAGTTCAACCGCCGACAGCAGGAGAGCCGCTGGCTGGAGACGCACATCTGGCACAGCAAACGCTTCCACATGCGCAAGAGCTGGAGCTTCTGTGTGCCGCTCGCGCCCACCGCCAAGGGCTACCGCGCCGCATACCGGGCCATGGACACACACGCCCTGCTGCAGGTGTGTGTCCCCACACAACACACTTCCTGTCAAAGCAGCTTTACAGAGAGAGCATGAGTCCACGCTAACGGGACCTGTCATCAGACTCACACACACAGAATCACTGTACGTGTGTGTGTGTGTGTGTGTGTGTGTGTGACAGTGAACGGGCTTCTGTTTCTCAGACGAGATTTTTACAGATGCTGTAATGTCTGAAAAGCTACATTTTCATTTCTTAAATATTAGCAAAATTCAAATTATATTCTGTTATATTAAAGTACTGTATCGACTCCTCTGTCCACAAGAGGTCGCAAGCGAGCGCATAAGCATATATAAGCCAGAGGAGGTTACCAGTGTGTTTGTGCATCAGTAATCTGAGAAAACACACTTCAACACACGTGAACACACACACACACCAGCAATCTGGCCTTCAGAAACACTTCTACTCTCTACATCTACATACAGATCAGGACACACACCAGATGCTCCTGATCTGAGCAAGTGCTGAGCGTTCACACACACACACACACACACACACACGCACGCTGAGTGGTTTCTGTTGACAGTCTTTCAGCTGATGAACACATGTACACACACACACTGAGCGGTTTCAGCTGATGAACACACACACACACACTCCGCTCTGACCGATGTGCAGGTTTGGTCATTTCTGTCTCCGGCTGAGAGGGTTTCATCAACAGGAAGAACCTTTTCCCGCCAGTTTTCACATTAGCAACTGCGCTGTACTGGATAAGCTAGCAGAAACACGCGTGTGATGTCATCATGTCTCGCCCCTCTCAACACACCAGCCAATCAAATGTGCAGGTTTTTAAAAAAATTGAATATTCAAAATTCTAATTATCATATGACCGCCCTCGTGATTTCAACGACGCCCTCCTTTACTGAGTCTGTGATAAATTGTGTGTAAATTGCACTGAAAAGCTTGTGTTTACTGTAGTGTGTTTACTGTAGTGTGTGTGTGTGTGTGTGTGTCTCAGGATTTGTCATATTTCTGCTGCCTGGAGATCCAGGGATCTGAAGAACAGATACTGAGAGCACTGGCTCGACTCACCAACAAACAAACAGGTGTGTGTGTGTGTGTGTGTGTGTGTGTGCGTGAGGTGAGGTGAGTGAGTGTGTGTGAGTGTGTGTGAGGTGAGTGAGGTGTGTAGTTCACTGGACGCTGTTGTGTGTTGCAGGTCGCTCGTTGGCCGCGGTGTCGTGTGTGTGAGTGTGTGTGAGGTGTGTGAGTGTGTAGTTCACTGGACGCTGTTGTGTGCTGCAGGTCGCTCGTTGGCCGCGGTGTCGTGTGTGTCCGGCGCGCGGCAGGGGATCGTCCAGCTGTATCGATCGGACTGTTTCCCGCGCGGCGCTCTGGGTCCGGCTGAGTTCCTGTGGCGACCCCGGGCCCCCGACGCCGCGCTCAGACAGCTGTGGATCTGGCTCCACCCCGCTCTCAAACAGGTCAAACCTTCACCCAGGAGCACACACTCGCCTGTGCCGATGCCAACGCTTGCGTGTGTGTGTGTGTGTGTGTTCTTACGGCGTGTGTTGTGTGATGTGTGACAGGACGTGCTGTCGGAGCTGCTGCTGGTGTGTGGCTGTTCTCCGGCCGTGTCGGAGGATCTTCATCCCGAAGCGGATCCTGCAGGGAGGAAGAGGAAGAGCGATGAAGGCGACGCCGGTCCTCCCCCCAAGAGGCTGCTGGGAGACGGGACTCGCCCCGCTGGAGCTCCGGTGCGCTGGGAGTCTCCCGACACACACATCACCATCAGGTAGAGGATCACACACACACACACACACACACACACTAGAGGTGAAACGGATGCGTGCGGATGTGATGATTCGGCGTGTGATTCGTGGATTAACTGCTAGATTTGACCATCATAGAGTGAGTGTGTGATGTGGGCCAGTTATATAATAATATATAATAATTAATTAAATAATTTAAGTGAACGCTTTATATAAACACAATGTAGAAATGTAGTCGTTTATAAATTTATATTTAAATCCATGTGATCAATGTTATATAAATCATCATATCATCAGCACTAAATCTTGTGCAGTTTTTTTGTCGGTGTTTATTTAAAGACATAAAATATTGAAGTTTTAGGTAATTATTTATTTGATGAGTCGTCAATATGCAGAGTGTGATTTCACCCCATAATTAGCGTAAGAGAATAATAATTTCTGCGTTAGCCGAGTGCGCTGTAGCCAGAGCTGTTTAACCTGATCGCTCATCATTTCCTGTTTAGCGACCTCACCCTGGAGATTGTGCGCTTCCGCCTGATTGGTCCGCTGGCTCACACGGTGCTCACAGACACGCTCCGTCCAGCCAGTGAGGTGAGAGATTCTGATGATGTCACACTCTGGCTGTGATGGGCTCTGATTGGCTGATGATGTCACACTCTGGCTGTGATGGGCTCTGATTGGCTGATGGTTATGTCTGCTTCCTGTAGATGCTGAGTGGCGAGGACGACAGCCTCCATCGGCAGCAGACACACACGTTCCAGCTCCTGAGAGGTGATGAACACTGAGGTCATGTGACTGTGAGGAGGAGGAGCTGGATGTCTGATGGTGTGTGTGTGTGTGTGTGTGTGTTTTACAGGAGTGTGTTCCACAGCAGAGCTCCCAGCAGGGTGTGTGTTGGGACTGACTGTGGATGATCCCAGACTGACTCTACCTCAGAAACGTGGAAAAACTGTACCTGACCTACAGCCGAGCACAGGTGTGTGTGTGTGTGTGTGTGTGTGTGTGTGTGTGTGTGTGTGTGTGTGTGTGTGTGTGTGTATATATATGGCCCTGAGCTCCGGGAGCCCCTGCACCTCCATGCAGAGTAACCAGGTTCGAATCCTGGCAGGGCCTGTGATTCTCTCTCACACACACACACACACAGTAGCAGACTGCCATGATGAGTGTGTGTGTGTGTGTGTGTGTGTGTGTTTCTCCCACTAGAGGAGGATGATGTGAGGGATCTGAGACTCAGAGGAGTGGCGGCTCACTGCAGTCAGAGCTCACTGTGGGACGAGTCGATCCGGGAGTGTGTGACGCGCGGCCGACTGTCGGATCAGGTACACACACTGACTACATCGGACACACACACGAGACACACACTGACCGCCTCAGACACACACACCTCAGCCTCATGACTGGAGCTCTAGAGCGTTTCTCAGACCTGTGGAGTCTCCTTTATTTATATATGAACTACTGTAACGAGGAGTTCAGGACAGCGGAGAACCCTGCTCTAGAACATCATCATTCAAACAACTCTCCGTGTGTGTGTGTGTGTGTGTGTGTGTGTGTCTCAGGAGCTGAACCGCAGGAGGAGTGATCTGCTGGTCCCCGGCTCCCGCCTGTCCTCTTCTTCTGCTGTGCCGGTTCTGCTGGTCCATCATGCGGGCCGTGTGTGTGGAGAGGAGCGGCGGCACTGGGGCTCCGGCTGGGATCTGCTGCTTCCCAAGGGATGGGGAATGGCCTTCTGGGTCCCGCTGGTGCGTTCCTCCTCACGGTTCCTCTCAGACTTGTATTCACTAAACGAGATGCAGGTCACGGTGCGGCGCCCTCTAGTGTCTGGCGCCCTGGGCAAACTTTTACATGCGATCAAAGTAGCCTTCATGTGAACGCCTTGAAAGCGTTGTTTATTCCTTTTCTAATCGATCGAGAGAATATGAAAACCGAAACTGAAAGACTGCGCATGTGTAGAAAGCAATAATGTAATGACGGCAATAATGATGTAGCAATAGCGTAATGACGTATAAATAATGGCATAGAAATACTAGCATAGAAATAGCGTAATGACGCAGCAATAATGGCGTAGAAATAGCGTAATGATGCGTGGGTTAACGAGCTGTTCTCCAGTTGAGTAAAGTGTTGTATAAACGAGCTCATCGTATAATCCTCGTTCTCTGCGTGTGTGCAGTGCAGTCATCTCAGATTCAGCATTTGTTCATCAGTGTGTTAGTCTCAGACAGGAGTGTGGTGTTTTCAGGTGTATCGTGGCGTTCGAGTCGGAGGCCTCCACATGAGTCTCAAACACTCCCAGTTCAAGGGTCAGCCTCACTTCCCTCACGATTACCCAGACTGCCCTGCAGGAGTGCGCTTCCAAGCCGAGCAGGAGCTGGAGCTTCGGGAAAAGTTCAAGAGGTGGGATGGGAGATGTTGGGAAATGTTGTTTTGTGTGTCCATGATACAATAGAGAATGACTTTTGGCTGCTTTCAGACGTCCTCCATCTAAACGCACCAACTACATCAAACATGGCTGCTTGGCGCCGTTCCGCTGCCCCTGGCAACAGCTGACGGAGGAGTGGGAGGAGCTAGTGAGTCTGAGCGAGGACACGGCCAGCAGAGACGACACACCGTTCACTGTTCTGAGGTCAGTCAGTCGAACCGTAATAAGTGTTGTGACTGTATAGCGGATCTCTGTAACGTCCGTCTAGCTCGACCCCGCCGCGGAAACGGCCGTCAGACCTCGCAGTTTAGAGAGCTTTCTGTCCCTCCATTGGAAATGTGTGTACGCTATACTGTCCTTGTCCAGAAAAGAAATAAAAACGTCATCAAAGTAGTCCGTGTGACATCAGTGGGTTGGTTTTGATGTTTTGAAGCATCGAAAATACTTTTTGGTCCAAAAACGACTTTATTCAGCATTGTATTGTCTTCGGTTTTTCAGACGTGTTTCAGAATGGACTTCACTGACAGAGAGAACGCAAAATCCGCATCGTGATTATTTTTCTTTATTTGACAAAAAGCAGAACACTTTGTTTTGTCGACAGGATCGAATGATGTATAGCACTCATGTAAGATCAAAATCAGTATTTTGAGTCTCTTTTGAACTTATAAGAAAAATGTGAGCTGATCCCGCCGACCCCAGAGGCTTATGGGTAACCACCCAGCAGAGCATTACAGCAATCATGAACGAACTGTTCCACATCTCTCAGTGACAGCATATGGCGTAGTTTAGAGATATTTATAAGATGGAAGAATGCGGTTTTACAGATACTAGACGCATGACTTTCACATGCAAAACATTGGCATGTCCTCCATTCAAGGGAAAGGAAATGCGGAGGAATCAGTTCGGTTTCTCTGAAACATGCCCCCCCCCCCTCTCTCTTTTCTCCCATGTTTAATATGGTTTGAGTGTGTTAGCTGGCAAGACAAACTAAACTTTCTTTGCAGGAGTCTGAAGGAGCTGCGGCTGCTGTCTGGATGGATCCGGCGGCGACAGCGTCTGCGCGTGACCCCTGACCCCCCTCTGACCCGTCTGCGCGTGACCCCTGACCCCCCGCTGACCCGGCGGGGCGTGACCCCTGACCCCCCGCTGACCCCTGCGGCGGCCTCAGCTCTACAGCAGGAGTGCAGGCGGTCTCTCCTCTGGGTGCGTCTGCGTCTGCTGAGTAAAGGCCAGCCGGCGCTGCACGCCATGGTGTGTGTGCCCACGACCTCTGACCTCCAGCTGCTGCGTACAGAGGGTCAGAGCAGCGGCCCGCAGGAGCCGCGACACACAGATCCCCCGAGTGACCCTGCGGATCCGGAGCGTGTCCTGCGGGGTGTGTGTCCTCCTCCTCTGCCCGGGGTCGTGACCCACTGCAGCCGGACGCTTCTGGGATGGGTCACGCAGGGCGACTTCTCTCTGACCTCTGGGTGTGGAGAGGCTCTGGCCTTCATCAGCCTGACCGGCCTCACACACACACTCCTCACGCAGCCACAGGACCAGCGCGGACTCGTGCTCCTGCGCAACCCCTCGTCCCTGCAGTACCGCTTCGCCCAGATCAGCCTCGACACCTGAGCGCACACACACACACACACACACACACACACACACACACACACACACACACACTCACACACACACCCCTGCAGTACCGCTTCGCCCAGATCAGCCTCGACACCTGAGCACACACACACACACACACACACACACACACACTCACACACACACACACACACACACCCCTGCAGTACCGCTTCAGCTTCATGCATGTCAAACTTCCAAGACCATGTGCTGAAAATGTTTTTTAGTTTTTTTTGGTTTGTTTTTTTGAGAGACACTCTTTAAATCATAAATTTGTGTTTTTTCTGCTGGGACTTGAGTGATATTTGATTTTTGAAAACATTTTATTTTGTTTAAAGGTACAATATATGTAAGATTTTTGTAATAAAATATTCAAAAACCACTTTCAGTCGTCGCTAGGCTACATGACAAGCTATCTGGTACTGCGTTGCTCTGTCCCTTTCTATACGTGACGCTGAACTTGAATCCTTGTAGAGGAAGTGTCCATGGCGTCAGCCTCGATGAAGGTTTGGGATGTTGGAAAACCTTTCCCACACGGGTCTGACTGCTTAAGCAATGACGTGTTCCTCTCCTTTTGTCTCCTGTTTCCAAACAGCCCAAGGCCGTTCGCACCTTAAAGTCCCCGTGAACCGGAAGTTGCAAACGATTTTTCTCCAGTGCTGTGACGTATTTCCAAGTGAAGCGGAATATTGAACAGAGGGCAGGGTTTGACTCCAGCGCTCCTCCTCTCCATCTCTCGCTCATAGCAAACTAACGGTTTGAGGGGAGTGGTTAAGCGTTTCCCCACCCAAACTGTGAAACCTACGTCATCAGAAAAAGAAACCGTTCCAGACCGGAAGTAACTTTTCAGATTTTGATAAAAGATTACTAAGGTAAAACATTTTTTTTATATATATTCACTTGCACGGATTAATTCTTCACCACAAGACTAGTAATATGCGCTAACAAAGTAAATAGGTTCAATTTTGATTTCACGGGGACTTTAAAGACTATGGAAACCTTAGGGCCGGTTCACATATAGCGCCTAAAAACGCGTAGAAAACACTGGGCGCGCCGCATTCTCCATTTTCCAAAGCGCCAGGGCGGTTGCGCTTCAGTTGGTTCTTGTCACATGACCTATTGTGTGCGTATGGTGCGCTTGCGGTATGGGCTCTATGCACGGCGTTATTTCCGGTGAAGGATTAAGGATGCTCGATAACTTACGCCGATCGTAGAGTCCAATGCAATACCGAGAATTTATATTGAATTTTATACTCCATGGTTATACTAAAGAAACGTTAGTCACAAAAACAGATAAAACAGACACCCCTCGTTGTGTTTATGCTTCTTTTTAAAATTATATTAAATAAACATAACTATATATAAAATTACATCTAAACGTATGTACGTTTCGTTTCAAAGACGGGAGGTCAGTAAATTTTGAAGACTCTGCCATAATCCCGTTTTCTCCGGTTTTCCTCCGCTTTAATCTACACAACCGGAAATGGACGAGCATCCTTACGTCAAATGCGGAACTTATGCGTGCATATAGCCCATTCTGAAAAGTTGAGATGTTTTTATCTCGACGCGGCGCGGACGCGCATGGAAAAAACGAGCGCACCGCGACCGCATCGCTTGCGTTATGAGCAACCGCGCGCCTACATTTGAAATAACGAACTTGAGCGCGCAAAAGACGCGATATGTGAACCGGCCCTTTAAAGAAATATGGAGGAGTTAACACTGGAGCTTTAGTTAAGTCCTTTTTGATCGTTTCGAAAGCATCTTGACATTCCTTAGTCCATGTCCTAGTCGTGGATTGTTTCTTCTTCATGAAGAGATGCTGCTTTCTGACGAATTTCACATCAGATGGAGGACCTGCGCCCAGACACGACCACAACGCATGATGGAGTCAGCCGGATCCGGGCCGGATCCAGATCAGATGGAGGACCTGCGCCTAGTGTGCGCCTCAGTAGGTAAAGTTTATTGTTTGTATTGATTATCCAAAGTGTTCAATTAAACCTCCTCTAGTTTCTGCTCAGGCAACATTAATGATGCAGCATCCAGTGCTGGTCACACACTTTACCCAAGTTCATGAGGTGTGTGTGTGTATCAAGTTTTTTTATTCAATACAAGTCATTTTGTAATTTTTTTCATGTTATATTGTTTATTTTTAAAAAAAATCACAATGCTCCCATTACACTGAGACAGTTATACATTCAAAATGAACCCTTTTATAAACTCAGTTAGACACACACACACACACAATCTCAGTCACACACTCTCACTCACAAACACACTTGTGCACACACACACTCACTCAAATTCAGACTCACACACTAACTTCCTCACTCGCACAGACACACACACACTCACTCATATTCTCTCCCACACACACATTGAGTGTTAGTGCTGTTCTCTGTTCCTCCTGAAGGCTCCATCTCTCTCCCTCTCTCTCTCCCTCTCTCTCTCCCTCTCTCTCTCCCCCCCTCTCTCTCTCTCTCTCTCTCTCTCCCTCTCTCTCTCCCTCTCTCTCTCTCTCTCTCTCTCCCTCTCTCTCTCTCTCTCTCTATGGCTCGTCCTGCTGTATTCCGCTGTTGCAGGTGAATTTAGACGCCAGCGCTCCGTATTTATTGCCGTCTGGCTGCGGTTGCACTTTATCCGTACAACTTTTCCCTGAAAAACACAAACAGGATTATTATTTTATAGGGCTGTGCAAAAGTTAATTGCGATTAATCGCATCCAAAATAAAAGTCCGTGTTTACATAATATATTTGTGTGTGCTGTATATAATTATTTTGTATATATAAATACCTATGCATGCATGTATATATTTAAGAATTATTTGCGCTTAAATTCTGTATATATTTATAAATACATAATCTATATTATATAAATATAAATATTTTACACATGAATAACACATTTTCTTAAATATATACATGCATGTGTGTGTATTTATATATACAAAATAATTATATACAGCACACACAAATATATTATGTAAACACAGACTTTTATTTTGGATGCGATTAATCGCAATTAATTTTTGCACAGCCCTATTATTTTATTATAGATGATCGTCACTGTTGGCTCGATGCCTGGACGATCAGGCGTTATCGAGACATACCTGGAATCTGGCCCATAGAAATGAACACGCTGTCCATCTTGATTCTGGGTCGAGCTCGTGCAATCAGGAAAACTCCAGTGAATGCCAGCAGACACCTGAGCCACACACACACACACACACACACACACATATATCTTAAACCACTAACACACACGTGGAAACGTGTATTGTTATAAATGTAGAAATGCTCACCCGACCACAAACATGATGGTGGATATGACCGATAAACCATTAAATTCTTCATAAAATAAAATGCCTAGAAATACAAATATATTTTGTTAGTTATGTTTGTGTGTCTAGGGAAGAAACACCTTTGACCTCGACTGACCGGCGACGACGGCGCTGGCGGTGAAGAACACGTAGTTGATGGGCACGATCTCCGTGGCGTCGAACAGCTTCATGGCCTGATTCAGAAACCTGCGGCGATCGAAGAGACGAGCGGGATTATTCCCAGCAAAAAACTGACCTGTGTGTGTGTGTGTGTGTGTGTGTGTGTGTGTGTAAGACGTACTTGATCTGGAAGGCGCAGGAGGTGATCATGATGATGAACATGATGTAGAAGATGGGATAGGTGAGCTGTAAATGACTTCCTCTGATCGTCTCCGTGATCATTCCTGAAACGGCCTTCACTGAGATCACCGTCACCGACGCTGCAACACACACACACACACACACACACACCATCACTACTCCACGCATCAGGATCAATCACCATCAGACTCAACTGAATTGTTTCTCTGCCAAACAAACCATTAGAGCATTACAGTAATCTCGCCTGGAGGTCATGAACGCATGAACGAACTGTTCCACATTCGTCGATGAGAGCATATGGAGTAATTTAGAGATATTTTTAAGATGGAAAAATGCGGTTCTACAGTAGAAATGAGAGATTGCTATCAAACTAATGCCATGTTTCCTAATGATATCTCCTAATGGTAGCATGTACAGAGTGAACAGCAGCGGTCCCAGTACTGAGCCTTGTGGTACGCCATACTGAACTCGTGATCGATAGAACATCTCTTCATTTACTGCTAGAATACAAGTGTGACTATCTTTTTGCAACCTGTTTATTTTTTGTTTGTTTGTTTTTTTTTTTCACATCACAAGTGCCAAAACCTTAATTCGGACTAGGGTTAAACCAGCTTCTGTTGGATCTCAAGCCCTAATGAAAGGAACCAGACACTTTCTCATCATCTTCAGTCTCATCCGTATATAACGAGAGCAGAATCTGTTCTCACCGAGTAACGCCACCATGATCATGATGATCACGATGTGCTTCATGTTCCTGCACTTGTACAGATACATCAGGATAGCAAAGAGAATCGCCTCGAATGCCTGCAGAGAGACAGATCAAACACTCCACCACCACAGTTGTGTTTGTGTTTGTCCAATGGCTTCTTGATCGGGTCAATGTGTGATGAGATGAAACTCACAAAGTAGATGAGAAAGATCCAGCTGACCAGTGAGCGCTCCACCATGTTGGCCGTCACATGAGGGGATGCATGAGGGGCAAAGGTCACCAGAAAGTAGGTGCCGGTCAGAGCTAAAGCTCCTCCTGTGAACGAAACAGCTTTATTACAAGACCGTCATGACCGTGTGTTTGTGTTATATTATAAATCCAGTGTTGGGTTTCATCAGGAGTTTGTGGAAGACAGGTCTGTTTCCAACTGATATTCCTAAATGATCCTCAGATCAACTGAATTAGCATCACACACAAATGATTCAGTGTGTGACACAGTGTGTGTGTGTGTGTGTGTATTAGGAGTGATTGTTAGTGTCCAGCAGTCATGAGTTTGATTCCCAGAAAAGAAATGAACTGATGTGAAATTATCCCTGTAGCTCAATAAGGTGGAATTGGCAATGTTGCAAACTCCCCCCAGTCCTACTTTATGGTTTATAATATAACTCTGAGTTTAATTATCTTACAGTACAACAATAGAAGACAAGAACTGAAGGCGTTTATAATGAATCTGATCTCACCGAGGATATCTGAAGCACGTAATGTTTCCTTGAGGAACAACACCGAAATAACACCACTTGCTGAAAGAGAAGAGCCAACGTCACAAGCTTTAAACACCATTAGAAGAGTAAAATACTGAGTGTGGTGTTTCTCTGTCCCTGATGTGGTGTTTCTCTGTCCCTGATGTGGTGTTTCTCTGTCCCTGATGTGGTGTTTCTCTGTCCCTGATGTGGTGTTTCTCTGTCCCTGATGTGGTGTTTCTCTGTGATTTACCAATGACAGACACACAGCCGAGAGGAGCGATGAGCGAGGCAGGAGCAAATCCATACGCAGCAAAGTTTCCCAGTTCTCCCAATCCCATGAGCAAGATCCCACACCACCACAGACGACTGGTGTAGTACGGCTTCGTCCCGCGCTGAGACTGACGCATGTGTGTGTATTTCTGCACAGCAAACACCAGCAGAGATCTAAACACTGAACCTCTGAGGAGCAGATGACTGTGAGTGTATGTTAACGAGTGTGTTGAGGTTCACCTGGATATTTAAGGAGATGCTGATGAGAAAGTTTCCACACACTGCAATGCAGATCCCCACAATATAGCTCTGGGAACACAGAAACACTGATCCTGAAACAACACTCCTATCAAAGGCAGTCAAGAACGTCAAAAATTTATTCTAAATTTATGAGGAAACAGTAGGCTGATAAATAATGTTGTAAGTGTAGGGAAAGATGGGACTGACTACAGCAGTAAAGTCAAACAATACACTGCATTTATTCTCAGGTTAGAGGCTGTAGTTTGAGTTTAATCTTTGGTTAGATACTGTTTTAGCTGTAGTTTGAGTTTAATCTCAGATTAGAGGCTGTAGTTTGAGTTTAATCTCAGGTTAGATGCTGTATCTTTAGTTTAACCTCAGACACTGTTAATTCTGTACCTCCATCTTGGATCTTCACCTGTAGTTCCCACAAGGCTTGTAAAGCGAGTGAATAACCACATTCACAAACACACTGCACAAGTGAAAATAACAACAGACACAACTTCAGCACATCTGTGTGTGTGTTCAGCTCTTTAAAGCTCCATGATCCGTTTTACAGAGGTCCATAATATAATCCTCACACAGATATCATATCTCATACTAGTACATGATGTACAACCACGTGTCTCCCTGAGACATAAAAAACAAATAAAATCCATACGCATGTCAAATCACATACAGGGAATCAAAACCTTCACGTTGCTGAAAGGCCATAACAACAAATACTTTATTTGACTTCCAGAGAGAATACACATAGAGACAAATCTTCAGAAGAATTTATCACTTCCATAAGATGAACTTTCCAAACATAATTTGCTGATCTCATAAGATAACATCCTGACATCAAACATTAATAGCTATTTGACAATTAGCAACCACTCAACAGGGCATAAAATAACAAGACTAACAATAAAGATTGAATTAGAGGCTCAGTCACAATTGTTATAAAAACAGCAGTTATAAGCAGAAATACATACGGTTTCTCTGGTACAGGAACGAGAGGCAGTGCTGGGACTTTCTGTGTGTGTGTGTGTTCATACTTACAGGACTCTTTGTGCAGGCCAGGACAATAGTGTTCTGTGAGTGTGTGTGAGCTGTGCTGGATGGACAGTAGATCTATTATCCTACATTACAGCACATTCTTGCATGATGATAACACTACGAATGTGTGTTTAAATGTATTATTGTAAAGTTTAGACTAGAGTAACAGAAGTGGCCTACAGTAACAACAAAGCAAAATGGCTCATCATTATCATCTTAAAGATAACTTTACAAAAATGATAAAGAATAGTATTATTTACAGAAAAAGTTTGTCATCTCTCCTGATAATATATAATGATATTTATTCATTTTCCAGGTAATTTGATCCAGATGTTTGTTTTTTTTTCGGAGATTCCCCTAATTATGATCATGAACAGCAAGAATGAGATGCAGGTTTGATAAAGACACTTGTTGTGTGTCAGAAGACACGCCCATCACGACAATGTGGGATTTTTAACAGAAGTGAGGGGAAGTCATCAGCGCTTTATTATTTTAATCTGGCACAATGTTGTTTTATTTTATTTTATTTTATTTTATTTGTCAGAATGTTTTTGTCTCCGTCATTTGCTGGATTCTATGTCGTCACTGTCGTGCACGCGCCTGCAGCTGTGCGCGTGTTGAGAAACGCTGGAATATCGCGGTGAGTTTATGACGATCATAATCATCTCAAATATGAATCATATCTGCAGAGACGACATGTGAATTAAACGCGCGTTTAGAGCGGAATCACCGGTTTCATCGCGAGGATCGATCGAGCTGTTCGAGATTCACGTTCAGATCAAACCTTTCTGTGAGGAAATCTGCTTCCATGGAGATAATGATGTTCAGTCGTGTGGTCGTGTGTGTGTGTGTGTGAGAGAGAGAGAAAGAGAGTGAGTGTGTGTGTGTGTGTGTGTGTGTGTGAGTGAGTGAGAGAGTGAGTGTGTGTGTGTGTGTGTGTGTGTGTGTGTGTGAGTGAGTGAGAGAGAGAGAGAAAGAGAGAGAGTGTGTGTGTGTGTGTGTGTGAGAGTGAGTGTGTGTGTGTGAGTGTGTGAGAGAGAGAGAGAGAGAGAGAGTGTGTGTGTGTGTGTGTGTGTGTTAGAGAGAGAGAGAGAGTGAGTGAGTGTGTGTGTGTGTGTGTGTTTGTATGAATGTAGAATATCTGTAAATGGTTTTCTCATGGTCTGCTGTGTGTGTGTGTGTGTCTCCAGATCAGCAACTGAATCTCCCAGTGACTCCCAGTTTTCCTCAGTCATGATCGGCTCGATCCGCATTAATGTGGGAGGATTCCGGCGCCGGCTTCTCTCCACTCGACTCTCCCGTTTCCCCGAGACCCGACTCGCTCGCTTGCTGAGCTGTCGATCCAGGGAGTCGATCCTCGAGCTGTGTGACGACTACGACGAGTCTGAGAGCGAGTTCTACTTCGACCGTAATCCCACGCTCTTCCCGTACGTCCTGCACTTCTACAACACGGGAAGACTTCACGTCATGGAGGAGCTCTGCATCTTCTCCTTCAGTCAAGAGATCGAGTACTGGGGCATCGACGAGCTGTTCCTCGACTCCTGCTGCAGGTTAGAGGCTGTAAATCTCAGATTAGAGACTGAGTTTATTCTCAGATTGACTTTAATCTCAGATTAGATGCTGTAGTTTGAGTTTAATTTTAGATTAGATGCTGTTTTATCTGTAGTTTGAGTTTAATCTCAGGTTAGACGCTGTAGCTTTAGTTTAATCTCAGATACACTGTTAATTCTGTATCTCTATCCTGGATCTTCCCACAAGGCTTGTAAAGCGAGTGAATAACCACATTCACAAACACACTGCACAAGTGAAAATAACAACAGACACTTCAGCACATCTGTGTGTGTGTTCAGCTCTTTAAAGCTCTATGATCAGTCTGTTTTACAGAGGTGCATAATATAATCCTCACACAGATATCATATCTCATACTACATGAGACATAAACCACAACAATCCCATACAGGGAATCAAAACCATCACGTTGCTGGAAAGCCGTAACAACGGTATTTGCATGTGCCTTGCAGGAGCAGCTACCACTGCCGGAGGATGGATCCGGATCAGGCCCGGGACGACGGGAGCGAAACCGCAAGCTCAACCTCATCGTTCGGCGAGATCATGGAGTTTTACAGCGACGCCGGGAAATTCGACAAGCAGCTTCTAGGGAGCGTTCGCCGGAGAATCTGGTTAATGCTGGACAATCCCGGCTATTCCCTTCCCAGTCGCCTCATCAGTGTCTTCTCCATCCTGGTCCTGTTGGGCTCCATCGCCAGCATGTGCATGAACAGCATGAGTGAGTTCACTCGGGAAGATCCGCGCTTCCAGACCGTGGAGAATTTGGGAATAGCCTGGTTCACTTTCGAACTTCTGGCTCGACTCTCCGTGGCTCCGGATCTCCTCCGATTCTTCGCGCACCCGCTAAACCTGATCGATCTGGTGTCCATCCTACCCTTCTATCTGACGCTCGTGATTGATCTGGTTGCGGAGAGCAGTCCTGCGCTGGCTAATCTGGGAAGAGTCGCGCAGGTGCTCCGGTTGACCAGGATCTTCCGGATCCTGAAGCTGGCTCGCCACTCCACGGGCCTGCGGTCTCTGGGAGCCACGCTCCGGAACAGCTATCGGGAGATCGGGCTCCTCCTGCTTTATCTCTCCGTCGGAGTCTCCTTCTTCTCCGTCATGGCCTACACCCTGGAGAAGGAGGAGAACGAGGGATTGAACACCATCCCGGCCGGCTGGTGGTGGGCCACGGTTAGCATGACCACTGTGGGATACGGAGACGTCATTCCCGGATCCGTCGTGGGGAAGCTCACGGCGTCGGCCTGCATATTAGCGGGAATACTGGTTGTGGTGCTTCCCATCACGCTGATATTTAATAAGTTTTCCCTGTTTTATAAGAGGCAGAAGCAGCTGGAGATCATCATGAGGAGCTGCGAGTTCGACCAGGGAATGAAGGAGCCTCCGTCTGTCAATCTGAGGAATTATTACGCTCATAAAGTCAAGACGCTGATGGCCAGTCTGTCCAACATGAGCCGCAGTTCTCCCAGCGATCCCAGTCTGAGCGGCTCTCTGCGTTAGCCGTGCCGTCTGCCTCACGTGTTCCTAGTCTGAGCTCGGTACGACTGATGAACCTGGATGTAGTGTTTACATGACCCCTGAACATGTGATCGGGTTGATGTGTGTGTTTATATGTCACAAGCTTAAATCGGGAAATATGTTTGACATGCGCGAATATACAGTTTCTCCGACACTGGTTCTTTATTTGTTTTAAATAGCAGACTTGTAATCCGTCTCTGGTCATGATGAGTAGACATGAGCGCATGAGCCGCTGTGCCGCTGCTTATATTCATCACACAGTTAAACTGCCCAAACCCAGTGGTGTGTGTGTGTGTGTGTGTGTGTTGAGGTTCTGTGTGTTGTGATGTGTGTCACACGGGTGTTCTTGTGCCCTTGTTCTGTGCCTTTCACAAACCCAGTGTCTGAATCGGGTATTAATGGGCAGAAACGTGTTTGTTACATGTCTGGATTTGTAATATTTCCAGCTCATAATTTTATTTTCCCTTTTACTTGAAAATAATTTATCCTGTTTTAAGACTGTTAAGATGTTTTGCTTTGTGTGATGTTTACCATGATACCTTTACAGGTGTGTGTGTGTCATCATCCTCATCAGTGGGACTCTGTCTCCCTCTGCTGGAGAAGAGACGCAGTGCGGGAGCCGTGAGGAGAGTGATGGAGTCTGAGAGTGTCTACAGCTGTAAACATCACAGTTTAACTGGAGTACAGAGAGCAGAACAGCAGCTGAGGCTCATGGGAAGAGAAGTGAGCTATTAGTTGTTCTAGTGATGGGAAATCTGGTTCTTTTCCACGAACCGGTTCTTTCGGACAGTTCGTTTCAATGAACCGGTTCACCAGTTCTTTTACGTCCTCGCGTAATGACGTCAGTTCTATCGTCCCGGCGGATAAAAATACAAATGAATTTGAATCTTAACTTCAGTTAAATATTAGTAATCATCGTCATAATCATCTTAGATGAGTATCTTACATTTACGTTTGGCAAATGAACCCTGTCCAGGCGATGTGCAAACGCGGATGTTTTACATGTTTTGAAAATAAAAGTGAATAAAGTGGCCTTTTGTTTGATTTGTTATTACAGACTGATCTCATGAAGTAGCGTGTGTATGACACGCCAATTCGTATTTCCATTTTTGGCGTGCTATCAAGACGCATAATCGCCTTTCAGCGTGTTTATGAACGCCGTTGACTTAACGTTATATAAATATATGACTTACCTCAACCCCGTCCCTAAACCTAATCGTCACTGGGGTTAATGGCATTTATGACTGGAGATTTGACAGCATGTACAGACACGCGGAATGACGCAGACGTTAACGGCGTAGACATACACGCGGATAATGCGTAAGAGATAACACGCCACCTGACTCGAAAGTGGTGCATATGTTTACACAAAAGTCATGATGTCATGTTGGTTATTAAATAATCTTGCATTTCGGCTCCTTATCCCCATCCTCGGTTCGCCTGGGCTCATGGATCCGCATATGGAAGTACAACAAACAAAAAAGCTTATTGAATTGCACTACTTAAAATTTTTAGAAAACGTTGATTTAGCCTGAATATTAGAACAAGCACAACTTACAGGTCCCACCCCCTTGCTACGACAGGAATATCAGTGGATTACCGATTGATAATCTCCGTCTGCAGTCAGTCTCCTCACCAGCAGGGGCGCCAGCAGTGGTTGAAGAAGACTATAGAGCAACAGGTGAGAGATGAATTTACAGAAACAGCAAGCGGTAAGTGGTTGATGATCAGGGCCAGTTTATATGCGAAAAGCTGATAAAGACACAAAAGCTGTTTTTACATTGAAGTCTTCACTGTTAGTGTTGCACATATAAGCAGTTTTATATCGTGACAGAGATTATAATGTTATTCCCCAAAACTGATTTACATTTAGTCATTCAGCAGACGCTTTTATCCAAAGCGACTTACATCTGAGGACTAAACCAAGCGAGTCATTGTGAAGGGCAAAAACAACACAAGAAGTGCTCACAATACAAAGTTTAGACATTGCTCAGAGTAGCATAAGCCAGATAAGTGAAGGTTTAAAGGAAAAGGAAAGAATTAAAAATAATAATAATTATGTTAAGTGCTCTCGAAAAAGATGAGTTTTCATTTGTCTTTTGAATGCTGTCGGGGATTCTGCATTCCGGATGATGATGATGATGAAGATGGGCAGATCACTCCTCCAGCATGGAGCCGTGAGTGAGTGAGAATGTTCTGGAAAGTGATTTTGTGGCTCTCTGTGATGGCACCACGAGCCGTCGCTCATTGGCTGATCATAGTCTTCTGCTGGGGATGTAGACTCCTAGGAGTAAGAGGGAGCTGGGCCAGTGATCGATCTGTAAGCAAGAGTCAACGTCTTGATCTTGATGTGAGCAGCGAGTGGAGCCAGTGCAGAGAGATGACCAGAGGAGTGACGTGAGTGACGTCGTTGAAGACCAGACGAGCAGCAGCATTCTGGATCATCTGTAGAGGTTTCGTTGCACATGATGGAAGTCCAGCCAGAAGAGCATCATAGTAATCAAGCCTAGAGATGACCAGGGCCTGGACGAGAAGCTGTTCGCCTGCTCAGTTAGGAAAGGCCTGATCTTCCTGATGTAGCAAACCTGCATGATCGAGCTGTCTTTGTAATGTGGTTTGAGAAGGTCAGCTGGTCATCAAAGATTACTCCAAGATTTCTGACCGACCTCGAAGGGGTGATTGAGGAAGAATCTAGCTGGAGAGTGAAGTTGTGCTGTAGAGACGGATTGGCAGGGAGGACGAGGACCTACCTGTGAGATTCAAACCAGTGGAGGGAAGATCCAGTGATGAGAGAGTGGACAGAAGGATCTGATGATTCACCGTGTCGAAGGCAGCAGACAGGTCCAGGAGGATGAGGACTGATGATTTGGAAGCAGCTTTAGCGATCCGGTGACCGACAGTAATGCAGTCTCGGTTGAATGGCCTTTCTTGAAGCCTGATTGGTTGACGTCCAGCTGGTTGTTCAGAGACAGGAAAGATGATACGGGGTTGAAAGCAACTCGTTCAAGTGTTTTCCCAAAGAATGGTGGGAGATAGACAGGTCTGTAGTTCTCTAAAAGTGATTAGTTTAGCGTTGTTTTTTTAAGCAGTGCAGTTACCCGAGCCTGCTTAAATGCTGTAGGAACAATGCCAGTGTGTAGGGAAGAGTTTATGATGTGTGTGAGCGCCGGTGGAACTGTGGGAGAGATTGCTTGGAGCAGATGTGATGGGAGTGTGAGGGGATGGGGTCTAGAGGGCAGGAGGACTGGAGAGGAGAAGCTTAGATACGTCTTCCTCAGTTAGTGGAGTGAAGGAGAAGAGAGGGTTACTGGCTGTGGGAGAGGGTAGTCTGGGTTCCTGTGTGTGTGTGACGCTGAGAACTGACTGCTGATAGTTGTAGTTTTGTTAATGAAGAAGTTAGCAAAATCATCAGCAGTTAGCGAGGAGGTGGGTGGTGGAGGTGGACAGAGGAGAGTTGCATGTCTTGAAAAGTGAACGTGTGTTAGAGATGCTGTTGATCTTGTTGTGGATTTTGATTTTGCAGCATGAACATCAGTAGAAAGGGCAGAGATCGGTACCAGCTGAGGTCAGATGTTCTTTTGATTTGTGCAGTTTCCTCTCCGCTGCCTTTAGTTCAGTCCGGTGTTCACGGAGAACCTCAGATAACCAGGGGCTGGAGGTAGTAGCGCGTGCTGCTGAAAATATACATTTATGTGCCTTCAACTCCATACTTAAGCAGAACACAGGGCTGTGACATCATACTGTGACCTCTGACCCCGAACACTCGCTCACACTCTCAGTGTTTCCCACTAGATGCAGGACCTAATGGGCCCCCTGATGCAGGACCTGATGGGCCCCCTGATGCAGGACATGATGGGCCCCCTGATGCAGGACCTGATGGGCCCCCTGATGCAGGACATGATGGGCCCCCTGATGCAGGACCTGATGGGCCCCCTGATGCAGGACATGATGGACCCCCTGATGCAGGACCTGATGGGCCCCCTGATGCAGCTCTGCCTGGAGGCCCTGCTGAGAGAACAGCCACAGCTGCTCGATGGAAAGCAGGTGTGTGTGTGTGTGCGTGTGTGTGTGTGTGTGCGTGTGTGTGTGTGTGTGACCAGCTAACTCAATTAGTGCTGAAAAATAGATGACCACATCACACACTCATCTGAACTTCTCGTCTGACCCGTCACGTCTGCGATTCAGGCACAGATGGAGTGTTTTCATGAACTGGAAGTGACAGTAGTGTGTGTGTGTGTGTGTGTGTGTGTGAATGACACTTCTGCTGTCTTAATGCTGTCATGTTAATCACTTCAAACATCGCCGCATGTTCTCATGATGTGTGTCAGGAGGAATGTCTGAGAGGAGAGATGAAAGTAATCAGAGAGTGACCTGAAGCTCTGAGTGTTCAACACACTCCACTGTTGTGTTCCTCTGAAGACTGAACGTCTTTAGGTTCATGACATGAGGGCGAGTAAATCATGATGACAGAATAATGATTTATGTGATATATGATGAATTAATGCTCACTCTCCACTAGTTGTGTTGTTCTGTCTGTTTCTGTGCAAGTTACAGTGTCCATAATGTTGTGTATGTGTGTGTGTGTTTGTGTTTGATTTAGGGATCAGACTAGTTAATCTCAGAGCATGAGTGGACTGAATGCAGCAGCTACACACACACACACACACAGCGCAGGAAATGATGCGTGTCTCGGAGTATGTACTCATACGGGAGCAAATAGGAGGAAGGATTATGTGTGTGTTTTATTTCTTGAGCTATCCTATCACTGATGATGACGATGATGATGAAGGGGTGATGCTGAACAAGGACACGTGTGTGTGTGTGTGTCTGAAGGTTTCAGACATGTGAATCCCTGCTGTATCTAGAACATTCTCTCTGAGGGCCTGAAATAGCAGCGCAGACACTGACTGGTCTTAACTAATCAGTGCTCATTAACCCATCGTCTCACACACACACACACACACTACACAATGCTCTTCTACAGAGTGTGTAAATGATGATGTTTGAGTTCTACTTGTCAGATGTCCAGAACATGCACTCTGTTTGTCTCGCACTGCATTGTTGGAGTGTGTTTATCTCACACTGCATTGTGGGAGTGTGTTCGTCTCGCACTGCATTGTGGGAATGTTTGTCTCGCACTGCATTGTTGGAGTGTGTTCGTCTCGCACTGCATTGTGGGAGTGTGTTTGTCTCGCACTGCATTGTGGGAGTGTGTTCGTCTCGCACTGCATTGTGGGAGTGTGTTCGTCTCGCACTGCATTGTGGGAGTGTGTTCGTCTCGCACTGCATTGTGGGAGTGTGTTTGTCTCGCACTGCATTGTGGGAGTGTGTTTGTCTCGCACTGCATTGTGGGAGTGTGTTCGTCTCGCACTGCATTGTGGGAGTGTGTTTGTTTCGCACTGCATTGTGGGAGTGTGTTCGTCTCACACTGCATTGTGGGAGTGTGTTTGTCTCGCACTGCATTGTGGGAGTGTGTTCGTCTCGCACTGCATTGTGGGAGTGTGTTCGGCGGGCCACGAGAGAGAGTGTGCCGTATCTTGGAGCTGCGCCCGTCTGCTATCAGCGCAGATAATCCAGCGCTAGTGAAGAGTCTCTGACCCTGAGAACACACACCTAATGCCTTTATAATGCAACCTTTTACCGAAGCAGCCTTTGTCCTAAACACACACACACACGAATCAAGGTGACATGATATGATCGTCATTAGACGTCCACAGAGACATTAGCGCCCGTAATGCCTTCCTAACACACACTCCCGCTCGGAGCTCATTCTCCAAACTCCTATAGCAACATGAGTGTGTCTGCGCTAATCACACACACCTTCTGCCAGGCAGTGTGTTTATGGCCAGCGGAGACAGACCGACACACAGACAGAGAGAGAGGAGGGCGAGCGAGGGCCATCGTGACGCCGGGGAGTCGTCGGTCTCGGCGATGGAGTGTGTGATACGAGCCGTTATCTTATCAGTGTCATCAGGAGATGCACAGGCGGCCGATAACACGAGCTGCGGTGAACACACACTCCGGCGAGACACA